GCCGATCTAAGTTGTGGGGCGATCTTGCAAGAGTTTGAGCGGAACCGAGTGAGTCGAAACCGTTTCGACGTAATGCAGTCTCATGAAGGCAAGTCGGACGAACCTTAACAGTTCGAACAAGTATGCGGGAGGTAGCATATGCGGATGTAGGGGTTGAAAGATGTGCTAGACGGTAGCACATGCTGGTGGATGAGGTTTTTGTATGTGAGTATGGAGATAGTCAAGTGAATTACCTTCCTGAATGATGTGGAGCGAGGAGGATCGAGATCGTGGAAGCTGCAAAGAATTGAAGTACCAAAAAGAAGATGATTGAATGACTTACACGATTATGAAAGACGATCGGGCTTGGATATCGATCTTGGACTAAGACGATGGAGCAGGTTTGAACTTGTCCTGCAGACGAGGGACCTGCAATCCGGGATGATCCCAATAGGCGTTACGGAACTGGTTGCGCCAAGGATTCTCTTGGTCTGCCATGTCCAACGCCCCTAGCAAGTCAGCTGGGTCGTTAGAGTGTCCTAACCCTGGATACCAAACTCGGTCTTCATGTGGGCGCGGATAGTGGAGGAAGAAGGGATCTAGCAAGATGTCGAGATCGCAGTGGCCAGCGATCATGCCGCTGAGTATCATCTTCAAGAAGTTCTTCCAACGCGCTCCAAAGCGAGAACGGCGTTGTTTTCGTTGGCGCCAGAATGTCTGCATGAACCGTTCAGATCGCCGTTGAGCCGGAAGAATCGGGAAAGCATGAGTGGATTCCCACAGAGCTTGTCGATGAGTGGACTCAAGCTCCAGGTACCGATGACTCATATCACGATACCACCCAGTCATGGTGAACGATATCGGGTTCACTGGGACTATGACATTATCCCAAGGGGCTGTAGCGTAAAGAGCCTCGATGTGTAGCCGCGAGATCAGCCCAGAAGCCCAAGTCCCCGTAGGCGGAGCTCGTCCATGATTGTAGAAGGGAAACAGAAAATTCCTGGGCTTGGAGTAGTGGTGAAACAACAGCTCAATGGTCATGGTCCTCACGCAAACCATCGCGATCCGCGAAACGGACCATGGAGCGATCTCGGAAGCTACCCGTCGGGAGGGCGCCAGATAGTTGGGAATCCACCGATCCCGTGGTTGCTGGAGTGGCGGAAGATTGTCGAAGTCCACGGAAGAGAAAACTCTGTTAGCCACTTGGCGTGCCGGAAGGGTGATGCTGTTTTCGCTATCGGACGAATGGCGATCCGAAAGCGCAGTAGACTCCGGAGGCGGACTAACAGAGCCAGTCTCGCTGTGTGTCTCCCCTGTTGGCGATACCTCCACGTCTTTTACGCCGCCATCATCTTGAATTTCGACTACGGGGACAGCCGCGACCGGAGTGGATGGGTACGAAAGATAACGAGGCTCCGAAACGTCTGGAGAAGGCGAACGCAACAGTGCTTGAGCCAACGCAGTAGCTGCGGGAGAAGCGGGAACAACCCGAGCGGCCGGAGAGGGGTTCGGGGTCGAAGATCAGGCATCCGATCTAGGTTGACGACGAGAGGCCGATCTCGATTGGGATAATGCAGCACGAGTCAAATCATCCGAGCTAGAATCCGACTCGGTCAGCTCCTCACTTCCCGATCCAGTCCCAGAAGCCGCGGACGAAAGCGGAGAAGAAGAAGAATTGGGTGGAGGCTCGGGTGGGGCCAATCCGGGAAGTTTGTTCAAAGGTATTGAAGGGTTCAACGACAATAGCCGGGAGGCCACACGGGCGGTGGAAGAATCCCTGGATCGTGACCTTGGTTGAATACGCCGACGCTTGGCCGGCGGGCCGGACGATCTCGATCTGGACCTACGGGCAAGCGATCTCGATCCCGGGGTAGTGGGAGCAGGTGGCCGATCCGGCCGGAGTAGCACTCTTAGGCGTCGATCGGGCGGTCAACGCAGACGACCGGGATCCGAGTATAGCACTGTTCAGTGTGTCGAGGAGAGCACGGTGTTCAGCTATAGCCTGATCCCGATCATGCTCCACCACCTGCAACTGGTCGTATATCTCGAGGTGTTCCGCAAGCTGACGACGTAGGTTGGCGTTCTCCGCCTGCGAAAGTGCCAACTGACCCTCTAGGGGAGTCAAACCATCCACTTGTTGTATGAGATCGCTGATCGAAGACAGTCCATCTGCGATCTCCTCCTGAGACTGAGCCAATTGCTCCTTCAAGTGCAAAAAATCTATGTGAAGGAAGGATTTGTCCATGGTCAGCTGATCACGCTGCTGTCGGAGAGAGTTGAGTTCGGCTTGGAGCGAATGAAGCTGAGCCCTCAAAGCATCCACCTGTCGTTCCAAGTTCCCCTGAGCCTCGTCGTTGGCACATATCAAAGTGCGTAGCCGACGAATCTCCTCCGATTGATCTCGATATGTCCGCAGAGCTCGATGGCAATCACTCAAAGAATGCACTGCGTCGACGTAGCGGCCCTGCATCCAGTCATATCGAAGCTGGACGAAGGAGACAAAAGGAGCGGCTGATCTGTACAGCGAATCAAGCTCGTCTTGTAAGCGATCCCCCCGGGCGACGGCATCTCGGTAGGACTGCTGAAGCGCATGAATGGTGTCGGCTTGGCTGCAAAAGGTATCCTCTCGATCCCACAAATACGAGATCGTGGCCATCGTGAGACGAACGTCGTCGGCAGAAACGCTGGGAACGAAGCCGGTGACGCCCACAGCTGGAGCAGACCTTTCACGAGATTCATTAGCGGCCGGGATGTCGGATCTGGACGCATCTGGGGCCGCCGGAGGAGTGGGAAGCGGGAATGGCTCGGAAGAACGATCTGATAATTTCGCGTCGGTCGAGAGCGATCCGACCGATCTGGGATTACTGAGAGACTCATGTTGATCTGGGACGATAGGAGCATACCACCCGCGATCCGGCGATCTAGATGGCGAGTCTCGGGATGGAGACGAGGGTCTGGTCGGCTGTCGATCTGGCGATCCTGTGGGGATTGTGGGCGATCCGGTTGGGCCTAGATGGCGCGGAGACCCAGGCCGATCGGGGACCGCTGGGGTGTGTCCTCCGAGATCGGGCGATCCGGGCGACAGGTCGCGATCCGGAGACAGAAACATGGTGGATCCTTCTGAAGAGATCGGCGAGGTGGGTGGATGCGTCGGAGAGGCCATGAGACGGACTTGAGTGCTTGGAACGAAGTTGATGAGTGACTGTACTGAGGTCAATTGCTGTACAAAAGACTTCAGTACAGGGGGCGGTTGTGGCAAAGTCACTACTCAAATTTTGTACGAGGATCGGTGACCACACCTTTAAAGCGCCGCTTACTGGTGGAAAAGGAGGCCATGAGACTCGGCGATCCAATACGGAGGTGGAAGATGATCTTAACGGGATCGGCGAACCGATCCAACTGTCGTTAGACTAATGGGTATGGATCGACCTGGGACGGAGCGATCTGGAACGATTTACATGGAACAATCTGGGACAAGGATCTGGGACCGGGTGATGGGATATGACTCTGCGACGAAGGTGTAACATCTTGCAGAATGTTATGGGGCGATTTGGAACCAGACATCGGGATGAAGTCATACAGCTCATTGGAATGCCGGTCAAGAAGAAGTATACGTACATTGAAGCAGGCTAAGATCAGATCGCAGATCGACATGCTGTGGCAACGGTTTGTTGGAGAATTGACACATCTGGGACAAGGTGACTCCCCAAAGTGCATCTGGGACCAGGTGGTACGGGTCGGTGAATCGGCAAAGAAGGTGCAACACCATACGGATCGGTGATACTCTTTACCGATCCTAAATTGGGAGTACTGATTTTGGTTAATTATACACCGATCTGGAAGTTTTGCATACTCAGGGGAGTCAAGGAAACCGATGTCGAGACGTATGAATGAAGTTTTCGATTGGATAACACTGGAGGATGATATTGAAGCACGTATGAGGAGATGAAAAAGTGTTAATTGCCGATTTAGACCGGATCGACCTCCAACATCTCGATATTGGATGACAGATCGGTCATGTTCCACACTGATCATGAATATATGGTTGATGAAGATACTGGATCATGTGGAATATACTTGATAGAGGTCACTAAGTGATGTCAAGAAGTTTCATGCCGAAAGAGCCAGTGGAAGCTGTCCGAATTGACGTCGCAAAGTGAATTTGGACACCTTCGGCATTTTGGGTCATATATTGGGTACTTGGGTGCCAAGAATGGGTATTTGGTACCATATAGGAGATTTTGGTCCATTTGGTGCTCTAGGTACGATATCGGGGATATTGGCGCTATCATTGGAGTACAGGGCACGAAATTTCGACTCGTGGCAAGGGGGCGAACCAGATTCAAGGCGATATCGGTTTGAAGAGTGACCTATAGTTAAGAATAGGCTTAAGGGTAGGTTGGATAGTAATTTGGTTGGTTAATAAACAGACTTGAACTCTACTTCTTCTTCTCACGACGCACGTTATCCTCCCCTCTTCTCCAGGCAAGATTGATTTGGCTTCCCCGGTGGGTTAAGGCACGCGTGTTACAGGGACACAGAAGACCGATCTTGGATTGTTGGCCAAGATTGAGAAGAGCGATCCCGGGATATCTGGCCCGGATCGATCAAGTACTCACACTCAACTCAACTTCTAGGGTAGCAGCACACAACGGAAAAGGAAAAGGATTTTGGACACAGGATCGCGAGACGGCTCAAGTGGTCAGAAGATCTGGACAAGGCGTTCAAGACAAGACCGAGCAGGATCGAAGCGATCCCCTGGACAGATCGGCACGTTTCATTTTGGCGAAACAAGACACCGATCTACCCAAATTGCGCACTTCCGGCAAGATCGGCCGATCCCAAGACCAGATCGGACCGATCCCAAGGCAAGATCGACGCAGGACTTTTATTTGCTGAGTGAAGATTTCCGCACAGCAAAGACCCCGATCTCGAAGACAAATCAAGATCGGTGCGATCCAAGATCGGGATCGCAGAACCCCCGTTCGTGGTGTGAAGATTTCCGCACCGGAAGCGAACCCTCAACCCAACCTCTCAGCGAGATCGACATCTCCCAAGGCCGTTACGAAGAGCTCAAGCCAGCCCAACCGACGGGTACACAAGGTGAGCACAAGGTCATACAACAAGGCACGGATCGGAGTACCCCCTCCGTGAGTCGGCAAGTCTGGGCAAGTGGAAGATCGACACTCATACAAGCAATTTTGTGAGATCGACTTCACCACAACACCATATTGGCGTTTGTCACGGTTGGTTGGGAATGGTTTTTGGACCATCTTTCCTTGCTGGCAACCGCGACACACACTTGGACCAGTCGAGTTGAGAGGTGCCTTGGCGTTCTTGATCATGCCGGTGGCCACCATCTTGCGCAGAACTTCGAGGGGTGCATGACCCATGCGAGCATGCAAGTCGATGGTCCCATTGCGTGTTGCTGCATTTGCCGATCGTTGAGGAGTCCGCAGCCAGTAAAGTCCATCGACGAGATCCGCTGTTGCCACGACTTGTGTGGAATTCTTGCGCTTCACTTGCATCTTGGACCCATCGAACACGACTTGGAACCTGCCACCCTTGTTGATCTGTGGCACCGAAAGCAGATTCTTGCTCATACTTGGTACGAACAGTGCGTCCTTGATCTCAATGTCGCGTTCGTCACCATTGGGCAGAACCACACGTTCCATGATGGTTCCCACACCCTTGATCGCAGCCTTGCTGCCATCAGCCACTGATAGTTCGCCTTCCTCTCGCTCATTCAGGCTTGCAAACTTGGCTTTGTCGTTGCAGATGTGATGCGTCGCACCGCTGTCGACTGCCCACATCCCTGGCATATTCTTGCCCGTCGAAAGTCCAGCCTCCAGCGAAACCGCAAACGCAACTCGATCGTAGTTGTCGTCGTTGTTGTTGTTGGTTCGCCACTGAACGTTGTTGGCTCCGCGTTCACGAGCATTGTTGCCGCCGCGTCGAGCTCCACCTTGATTTTCGTCCTTCTGCTTGGTCCAGCACCGCTCCGCCGTGTGCCCCAATTTTCCGCAGTATGTGCACTGGCGAGGTTCACGCTCGGCACTGAACGCCTTCGCCGCGTCTTCAGTCTTCACCGATGTCGTCTTGTCACCTTGCCTCTTGATGTGCTCATTCGTGAGCACTCTCACGACGTCTCACGATCGCAGTTCCGCGCTGCTCATATCCAAGTTGAGAACGACGTTCTCGTAGCTCTTGGGGAGGCTGCGCAACAAGCAGATCGCCACGTCCTCGTCCTCCATCTTGGCGCCGATGCTAGCCAGCTTTGCGCTGATGTTGAGGACCTCATTGTAATGATGCAACACATTGCCGCCTTCCGCCATCTCCATACTGAAGAGCTGGCGCTTCAAGTAGATGCGTCCAGCCTTCTGCGACCCGCCGTACAGCGTCTTCAAACGCGCCCACGCGACCCACGCCTCTTCACAGTCATCAACCACGTGATGATAATCCGCGCTCATGTGCAGCAGCATCAAGCCGAACGCAATGTTGTTCGTCTTGACGTAGTCGTCACTGGCGCGAGGATCGGCGAAGGTGGGGGTGGTCTCCCGGTTCACCACGTGCCACGCCGACTTGGTCAGGAACACGCCACGCATGTAGCGGCTCCACGTCGCGTAGTTGTCGCCGTCGAACTTGTCAATGGAGATCTTGGTGGTGGCATCATGAGCAGAGGACATCGTGCTTGGGCTCATAACCTGTTGATTGGTGAAAAGCTTGACGACCGAAACTGGGAGTGATGCTGGGAGTCCACTCGGAAGACCGGAGAAGACACTTGGGGGTAGATGGAAGATTGGAAAGTGATTGATTATCGGGGCTTACTACTTACTACATGATTTATATGTGGTGCACATATAAATCATGTGAAGCGTCTCATCATCCTACGCGTCTAATCAACTATAGTAATTACCGTAAGAACTACGTCGTAAATACTAAGCTGAACAGGCGGTTCGGATTGGACCGGTCACGGTTACCAATACTGGTAGAAACCGATGACCGTCAACACCTCTTAAGTCGAATGGAGCAACTGCATGTCGAGGGTGTCAACAAGGGAAATGGTCCAAAAACCATTCCCGAGCAACCGCGACAAGCGTAACTACTAAACGTTCGAGCTGCTTCATCTGGATATCTGTGGGATCATGGAAATCGAATCGCTCGGTGGCAGCAGAGATCTGCTACTGATCGTCGACGAAGCCAGTGGATGTATGAAGGGCTTTTGTTTACGAGTGAAGTCCGAGAGTGAAGACTACATCCGGAAGTACATCACTATGCTACAGACGCAATTCTGTAAGAAGGTCAAGTTCGTGCGACACGACGGAGTCCGCAAGTTTGCAACCAGGTCGCTGTGAATGTTCTACGAAGACGAAGGCATTGAACAGCAGACAACGGTGCAATATGCACATCAAACCAACGGAACAGCATAGCGTGCCATTAGGACTATCGTCACGATCGGCCGCAGCATGTTTCATCAGGCTAAGCTGGACAAGTGTTTCTAAGCCGAAGCAGCGATGACGGCCATCTACGTCAAGAATCGACTGCCGTCACCTAAAGTCGTACAACAGACCCCGTTTGAGATCGTCTACAACTCGAAACCAAGCGTCAAGCACATGCGAGCATTCGGGTGTCAGACGTACATAATGACGCCGAAAGAAAGTCGACTCAAGTGGGATCCAAAGGCTCGCGCTGGCATATTCGTGGGCTACGAAGAAGTGTAGAAGGCGTATCGAATTTATGACATCGAGGCGGTGCAGGTGGTTATCAGCCGCGATGTCAACTTCGACGAGTCCACATTTTGAATTTCGCCGCCAATCACTGATGAAGATGCCGATGACCTGGACTTCGAATTGCTTGACCTCAATGATGAAGAGCCGCTTCAGGTGGAGTACAAGCAAACAGGAAAGCGCAAGAACCGACTCAATGATGAAGATACAGCTTCTCCACGACCGCGTGCAGTGCGTCCACGACCTGGACTAGAAGAGTCAAGCGCGTCGGAAAACAACTCGTCACGCCAAGAAGAAGGCGAAGAAACGAAGGATTCTGTTGATTCAACACCGCCTGTGTTTTGGCGTGCGAGTGCAAATGCCGTTGAAGCAGCAGTGGACTTATCGGAGCCCTCAACCTTTGAAGCAGCAGTAAGCGGCCCTGACCAAGTGCACTGGCAAAAAGCTATTCATGCAGAGCTCGAGTCGATGCGACTTCGCGGTGTGTTTCGTGCAGCCAAGCTGCCCAACGGACAACGCGTCATTGGCACAAAATGGGTGTTCAAGATCAAGCGCAAGGCGGATGGGTCAATCGAGAAGTACAAGGCACGGCTTGTGGCCAAGGGTTTCCGCCAAAAGTATGGCATCGACTACACGGATACATTTTCGCCCGTGATCAAGTATGTGACGCTGCGAACGGTGATCGCAATTTCCAAGCATTTTGGATGGCCCATCGACCAGCTTGGTGTGGTGACAGCTTTCCGGTATGGCATCATGAAGGAGCAAGTGTTTTGTGTGATTCCTGAAGGTGGTGAACTGGATGATGACTTTGACTGTCTCGAATTGGTGAAGGCAATTTACGGCCTGAAGCAAGCTTTGCGAGTATGGAACGAGACTTTTGGCGAGTGTGTGTTTCATTGGATTTCAAGTGTCAGGCTTCGACCCATGTCTCTACATCAAGACTTCGGACGGCCATTGTGTATTTGTACTGGTCTATGTGGATGACGTGTTGGTGACAGGAAGCTCACCCAAGTTGATTGCACAAACCAAGAACGACCTGAAGACACGTTTCGAGATGACAGACAGCGGCAAATGTACATTTGTTCTTGGGATCGAGCTTTTTGGACGGTGAAGATGGCAGTGTGACTCCGTGTCAGCGTCGTTATGTCGATGATATCCTCAAGCGCTTTGGAATGGAGGAGTGCAAGGCTGTGGCGAGTCCTGTGGACGTCAGCTCTCGACTGATGTCAAGCAACACTGCGAGCAAGATCGATGTTCCATTCGTGAAGCGGTTGGTGCGTTGATGCACCTGACCACTGCAACGCGCCGGACATTGCGTTTGCTGTGGGCTATGTGTCGCGGTTCATGGAAAATCCCCAAGAAGAACACTGGGTTGCAGTTAAGCGTATCTTTCGCTGCCTACAAGGCACCAAGACGCATGGAATTTGCTACAAGCCAAGTGCAAGGATCGACTTCCGTAGATATTCGGATGCGGATTGGGCTGGTGATCTTACCGACCGCAAGTCAACATCGGGGTACACGTTCATGCTACTCGGTGCGCCAGTGAGTTGGGGCAGCAAGAAGCAGCCAAGTGTTTCGTTGTCCACGACTGAAGCTGAATACATCGCACTCAGCTTGGCGATTCAAGAGGGCAAGTGGATTCATGGTCTGCTTTGTGAGATCGTGATGGCTGCCAATGAAGAAGGACCGGAACTCATGATTCATGAAGACAATCAGTCATGTATCAAGATGACGAAGAACCCGGTCAACCACGGCCGTGCCAAGCACATTGATATCAAGTACCATCACATCCGTGATGAGGTCAAGCGCGGTGAAGTGAAGCTCAAGTACTGTGAAACTGCGGTGATGTTAGCGGACATCATGACGAAGGGACTTCATGGACCACGCCACAAGGAGATGACGACGGCTCTCGGGATTCGTGAGCATTCGGATTGAGGGGGCGTGTTGACGGTCATCGGTTTTCTACCAGTGTTGGTAACCGTGAACGATCCAAATCGAACCGCCTGTTCAGCTTAGTATTTACGACGTAGTTCTTACGGTAATTACCATAGTTGATTAGACGCGTAGGATGATGAGACGCTTCACATGATTTATATGTGCACCACATATAAATCATGTAGTAAGTAGTAAGCCCCGATAATCAATCACTTTCGAATCTTCCAACTATTGGGCAAGTGTTTTCTGCTCTACTCTCTTCGGTCTCTCCGCTCCGTTCGCTCCGCTTTCCTCGCTCCGATCTACAATGCAAAAGGTTATGAGCCCAAGCGCCATGTCGTCCACCAGCAACGCCTCCATTGACAAGTTCAACGGAGACAATTACGCAACGTGGAGCCGGTACATGCGCGGTGTGTTTTTGACGAAGTCCGTCTGGCACGTCGTCAACCGTGAAGTGACTCCGACGTTCACCGACCCGCGAGCGTCCGATGACTACGTCAAGGCAAGCAACGTCGCGTTTGGTATGATGCTGCTGCACATGAACGCGGACTACCATCATGTGCTGGACAACTGCGAGGAAGTCTGGGTTGCGTGGACAAGTCTGAAGACGCTGTACGGTGGGTCGCAGAAGGCAGGACGCATCTACCTCAAGCGACAACTTTTCAGTATCAAGATGGCTGAAGGCGCGAACGTCATGCATCACTGCAACGAGGTCCTCAACATCTCCGCCAAGCTTAGCGGCATCGGTGCGAAGATGGAAGACGAAGACGTTGCGATCTGTATGCTACTCAGTCTTCCGAAGAGCTACGAAAATGTGGTGCTCAACATGGAAATGAGCAGCACCAAGCTTCGCACTCAAGATGTGGTGAGAGTCCTGACGAATGAGCATGCCAAGCGTCAAGGAAAAAAATGAACAACAAAAGCGACTACGGTGAAGGCTGAAGATGCAAGCAAGGCATTCAGCGCCGAGCGTGAGCCCTACCAATGCACGTATTGTGGCAAGGTGGGACACACGGTGGATCGTTGCTGGACAAAGCAGAAGAACGAAGGTCGGGGAGCTTGACGCGGCGGCAATGGTCGTGGACGCGGGGCTAACAATGCCCAGTGGGGACATCATGATGAAGGCAATGGCTACGATCGAGTGGCGTTTGCAGTCTCGTTCGAATGTGGAGTTTCGACGAGCAAGGACGTGTCTGCAATGTTGGCCGTCGACAGTGGTGCAACGCACCACATTTGCCACGACAAGACCAAGTTCGCAAGTTTGGCAGAGCGCAATGAGGGCGAACTCTTGGTGGCTGATGGCAACAAGGTGGCCATCAAGGGTGTGGGAACCTTCATGGAAAAGGTGGTTCTGCCCGACGGTGAAGAGCGTGAGATCGAAATCAAGAACGCGCTATATGTGTTGCATTGTAGATCGGAGCGAGGAAAGCGGAGCGAACGGAGTGGAGAGACCGAAGAGAGTAGAGCAGAAAACACTTGCCCAATAGTTGGAAGATTCGAAAGTGATTGATTATCGGGGCTTACTACTTACTACATGATTTATATGTGGTGCACATATAAATCATGTGAAGCGTCTCATCATCCTACGCGTCTAATCAACTATGGTAATTACCGTAAGAACTACGTCGTAAATACTAAGCTGAACAGGCGGTTCGATTTGGATCGTTCACGGTTACCAACACTGGTAGAAAACCGATGACCGTCAACACGCCCCCTCAATCCGAATGCTCACGAATCCCGAGAGCCGTCGTCATCTCCTTGTGGCGTGGTCCATGAAGTCCCTTCGTCATGATGTCCGCTAACATCACCGCAGTTTCACAGTACTTGAGCTTCACTTCACCGCGCTTGACCTCATCACGGATGTGATGGTACTTGATATCAATGTGCTTGGCACGGCCGTGGTTGACCGGGTTCTTCGTCATCTTGATACATGACTGATTGTCTTCATGAATCATGAGTTCCGGTCCTTCTTCATTGGCAGCCATCACGATCTCACAAAGCAGACCATGAATCCACTTGCCCTCTTGAATCGCCAAGCTGAGTGCGATGTATTCAGCTTCAGTCGTGGACAACGAAACACTTGGCTGCTTCTTGCTGCCCCAACTCACTGGCGCACCGAGTAGCATGAACGTGTACCCCGATGTTGACTTGCGGTCGGTAAGATCACCAGCCCAATCCGCATCCGAATATCTACGGAAGTCGATCCTTGCACTTGGCTTGTAGCAAATTCCATGCGTCTTGGTGCCTTGTAGGCAGCGAAAGATACGCTTAACTGCAACCCAGTGTTCTTCTTGGGGATTTTCCATGAACCGCGACACATAGCCCACAGCAAACGCAATGTCCGGACGCGTTGCAGTGGTCAGGTGCATCAACGCACCAACCGCTTCACGAATGGAACATCGATCTTGCTCGCAGTGTTGCTTGACATCAGTCGAGAGCTGACGTCCACAGGACTCGCCACAGCCTTGCACTCCTCCATTCCAAAGCGCTTGAGGATATCATCGACATAACGACGCTGACACGGAGTCACACTGCCATCTTCACCGTCCAAAAAGCTCGATCCCAAGAACAAATGTACATTTGCCGCTGTCTGTCATCTCGAAACGTGTCTTCAGGTCGTTCTTGGTTTGTGCAATCAACTCGAGCGAGCTGCCGGTGACCAACACGTCATCCACGTAGACCAGCACGAGCACACAGTGACCGTCGACAACCTTGATGTAGAGACATGGGTCGAACGCCGACGCTTCGAAACCGATAGAGCATACGAACTCGTCGAAAGTCTCGTTCCACACACGTGAAGCTTGCTTGAGACCGTAGATCGCCTTCACCAACTCGAGACAGTCGAAGTCGCCATCCATCTCGACGCCTTCTGGTATCACGCAGTACACCTTCTCCTTCATCACTCCGTAGAGAAAGGCTGTCACCACATCGAGTTGGTCCAGTGGCCAGTCGAAATACTTGGTGATCGCGATCACCATACGCAGTGTCACGTACTTGACTACGGGCGAGAACGTCTCTGTCTAGTCGATGCCGTACTTCTGCTTGAAGCCCTTGGCAACGAGACGCGCCTTGTATTTCTCGACCGATCCATCCGCTTTGCGCTTGATCTTGAACACCCACTTGGTGCCGATAGCGCCTTGGCCTCTTGGCAGTTTTGCCGCACGGAAAACTCCACGAAGATGCATCGACTTGAGTTCCGCCTTCACAGCATTTCGCCATTGAGCTTGATCAGGACCATTGATCGCGTCTTGAAAAGTCACAGGTTCTGCTAGGCCCGTTGCTTCCACTGCGTTTGCACTTGCACGCCAAAATGTTGGAGGCGTCGAGTCGTCATCTTGATCGTAGACGCTTGCATCTTCTTCGTCATCAGACATCGTTTCTGGAGCACTTGATCGTCGTTTCTGGTGACGGTTGGAGACGTGTTCCGGCGCACTTGCTTGTTCCAACCCAGTTCGAGGGCGAGCTGAACGTGACATGCCGGGTCTTGCTTCACTCTTGCGCTTGCCAGTCTGCTTGTAGACGGTTTGACGCACGTCGTCCTCGTTGATCGCCAGGAGGTCGAGGTCCAACTCCACATCTTCATCATCGTCACTTGGTCGGTCCATCGAAAAGTCAAAAGTCGATTCGTCGAAGGTGATGTCACGACTGATCACCACTTGGCCCGCCTCAATGTCGTACACTCGATAAGCTTTTAAGGCTTCTTCGTAGCCCATGAATATCTCTTCACGAGCCTTCGGGTCCCACTTCAATCGCTTCTCCCTTGGTGTCAGGATAAACGCCCGACATCCAAACACGCGCATGTGGTTGACACTTGGTTTCGACTTGTACACGATCTCGAACGGAGTCTTGTGGTCGATCTTGGGCGAAGGCAGGCGGTTCTTGATGTAGATCGCCGTCATTGCCGCTTCAGCCCAGAAACACTTCTCCAGTTTTGCATGATGCAACAAGCTGCGTCCGATCGTGACGATGGTCTTGATCGCGCGTTCTGCGGTGCCGTTGGTCTGGTGTGCATATGGCACCGGGATCTGTTGTTCGATACCATGATCTTCGTAGAAGGTCTTGATGGAGTTGGTCGCAAACTCATGCGCTTCATCGTGCCGAACAAACTTGATCTTCGTGCCGAACTGAGTTTGAATCTTGATAATGTGGTTCTTGATACAGTCTTCACTCTCAGACTTGGACCGCAGACAGAAGCCCTTCATGCAACCGCTGGCTTCGTCAACCACAAGCAGTAAGTATCTGCTGCCGCCGATCGAGACTTGTTCCATTGGCCCGCAGATGTCGAAGTGCAGCAACTCGAACACACCATATTGGCGTTTGTCACGGTTGGTTGGGAATGGTTTTTGGACCATCTTTCCTTGCTGGCAACCGCGACACACACTTGGACCAGTCAAGTTAAGAGGTGCCTTGGCGTCCTTGATCATGCCAGTGGCCACCATCTTGCGCAGAACTTCGAGGGGTGCATGACCCATGCGCGCATGCAATTCGATGGTCCCATTGCGTGTTGCTGCATTTGCCGATCGTTGAGGAGTCCGCAGCCAGTAAAGTCCATCGACGAGATCCGCTGTTGCCACGACTTGTGTGGAATTCTTGCGCTTCACTTGCATCTTGGATCCATCGAACACGACTTGGAACCTGCCACCCTTGTTGATCTGTGGCACCGAAAGCAGATTCTTGCTCATACTTGGTACGAACAGTGCGTCCTTGATCTCAATGTCGCGTTCGTCACCATTGGGCAGAACCACCCGTTCCATGATGGTTCCCACACCCTTGATCGCAGCCTTGCTGCCATCAGCCACTGATAGTTTGCCTTCCTCTCGCTCATTCAGGCTTGCAAACTTGGCTTTGTCGTTGCAGATGTGATGCGTCGCACCGCTGTCGACTGCCCACATCCCTGGCATATTCTTGCCCGTCGAAAGTCCAGCCTCCAGCGAAACCGCGAACGCAACTCGATCGTAGTTGTCGTCGTTGTTGTTGTTGGTTCGCCACTGAACGTTGTTGGCTCCGCGTCCACGAGCATTGTTGCCGCCGCGTCGAGCTCCACCTTGATTTTCGTCCTTCTGCTTGGTCCAGCACCGCTCCGCCGTGTGCCCCAATTTTCCGCAGTATGTACACTGGCGAGGTTCACGCTCGGCACTGAACGCCTTCGCCGCGTCTTCAGTCTTCACCGATGTCGTCTTGTCACCTTGCCTCTTGATGTGCTCATTCGTGAGCACTCTCACGACGTCTCGCGATCGCAGTTCCGCGCTGCTCATATCCAAGTTGAGAACCACGTTCTCGTAGCTCTTGGGCAGACTGCGCATTAAGCAGATCGCAACGTCCTCGTCCTCCATCTTGGCGCCGATGCTAGCCAGCTTTGCGCTGATGTTGAGGACCTCATTGTAATGATGCAACACATTGCCGCCTTCCGCCATCTCCATACTGAAGAGCTGGCGCTTCAAGTAGATGCGTCCAGCCTTCTGCGACCCGCCGTACAGCGTCTTCAAACGCGCCCACGCGACCCACGCCTCTTCACAGTCATCAACCACGTGATGATAATCCGCGCTCATGTGCAGCAGCATCAAGCCGAACGCAATGTTGTTCGTCTTGACGTAGTCGTCACTGGCGCGAGGATCTGCGAAGGTGGGGGTGGTCTCCCGGTTCACCACGTGCCACGCCGACTTGGTCAGGAACACGCCACGCATGTAGCGGCTCCACGTCGCGTAGTTGTCGCCGTCGAACTTGTCAATGGAGATCTTGGTGGTTGCATCATGAGCAGAGGACATCGTGCTTGGGCTCATAACCTGTTGGTTGGTGAAAAGCTTGACGACCGAAACTGGGAGTGATGCTGGGAGTCCACTCGGAAGACCGGAGAAGACACTTGGGGGTAGATGGAAGATTGGAAAGTGATTGATTATCGGGGCTTACTACTTACTACATGATTTATATGTGGTGCACATATAAATCATGTGAAGCGTCTCATCATCCTACGCGTCTAATCAACTATAGTAATTACCGTAAGAACTACGTCGTAAATACTAAGCTGAACAGGCGGTTCGTATTGGACCGGTCACGGTTACCAATACTGGTAGAAACCGATGACCGTCAACAACCGTGTGTCCCACCTTGCCACAATACGTGCATTGGTAGGGCTCACGCTCGGCGCTGAATGCCTTGCTTGCATCTTCAGCCTTCACCGTAGTCGCTGTCGTTGTCCATTTTTTTCCTTGACGCTTGGCATGCTCATTCGTCAGGACTCTCACCACATCTTGAGTGCGAAGTTTGGTGCTGCTCATTTCCATGTTGAGCACCACATTACCGTAGCTCTTCGGAAGACTGAGTAGCAGACAAATTGCAACGTATTCGTCTTCCATCTTCGTACCGATGCCGCTAAGCTTGGCGGAGATGTTGAGGACCTCGTTGCAGTGATGCATGACGTTCGCGCCTTCAGCCATCTTGATACTGAAAAGTTGTCGCTTGAGGTAGATGCGTCCTGCCTTCTGCGACCCACCGTACAGCGTCTTCAGACTTGTCCACGCAACCCAGACTTCCTCGCAGTTGTCCAGCACATGATGGTAGTCCGCGTTCATGTGCAGCAGCATCATACCAAACGCGACGTTGCTTGCCTTGACGTAGTCATCGGACGCTCGCGGGTCGGTGAACGTCGGAGTCACTTCACGGTTGACGACGTGCCAGACGGACTTCGTCAAAAACACACCGCGCATGTACCGGCTCCACGTTGCGTAATTGTCTCCGTTGAACTTGTCAATGGAGGCGTTGCTGGTAGACGACATGGCGCTTGGGCTCATAACCTTTTGCATTGTAGATCGGAGCGAGGAAAGCGGAGCGAACGGAGCGGAGCGACCGAAGAGAGTTTTTGACGGTCATCGGTTTCTACCAGTATTGGTAACCGTGACCGGTCCAATCCGAACCGCCTGTTCAGCTTAGTATTTACGACGTAGTTCTTACGGTAATTACCATAGTTGATTAGACGCGTAGGATGATGAGACGCTTCACATGATTTATATGTGTGTGGTGAAGTCGATCTCACAAAATTGCTTGTATGAGTGTCGACCTTCCACTTGCCCAGACTTGCCGACTCACGGAGGGGGTACTCCGATCCGTGCCTTGTTGTATGACCTTGTGCTCACCTTGTGTACCCGTCGGTTGGGCTGGCTTGAGCTCTTCGTAACGGCCTTGGGAGATGTCGATCTCGCTGAGAGGTTGGGTTGAGGGTTCGCTTCCGGTGCGGAAATCTTCACACCACGAACGGGGGTTCTGCGATCCCGATCTTGGATCGCACCGATCTTGATTTGTCTTCGAGATCGGGGTCTTTGCTGTGCGGAAATCTTCACTCAGCAAATAAAAGTCCTGCGTCGATCTTGCCTTGGGATCGGTCCGATCTGGTCTTGGGATCGGCCGATCTTGCCGGAAGTGCGCAATTTGGGTAGATCGGTGTCTTGTTTCGCCAAAATGAAACGTGCCGATCTGTCCAGGGGATCGCTTCGATCCTGCTCGGTCTTGTCTTGAACGCCTTGTCCAGATCTTCTGACCACTTGAGCCGTCTCGCGATCCTGTGTCCAAAATCCTTTTCCTTTTCCGTTGTGTGCTGCTACCCTAGCAGTTGAGTTGAGTGTGAGTACTTGATCGATCCGGGCCAGATATCCCGGGATCGCTCTTCTCGATCTTGGCCAACAATCCAAGATCGGTCTTCTGTGTCCCTGTAACACGCGTGCCTTAACCCGCCGGGGAAGCCAAATCAATCTTGCCTGGAGAAGAGGGGAGGATAACGTGCGTCGTGAGCAGAAGAAGTAGAGTTCAAGTCTGTTTATTAACCAACCAAATTACTATCCAACCTACCCTTAAGCCTATTCTTAACTATAGGTCACTCTTCAAACCGATATCGCCTTGAATCTGGTTCGCCCCCTTGCCACGTGTCGAAATTTCGTGCCCTGTACTCCAATGATAGCGCCAATATCCCCGATATCGTACCTAGAGCACCAAATGGACCAAAATCTCCTATATGGTACCAAATACCCATTCTTGGCACCCAAGTACCCAATATATGACCCAAAATGCCGAAGGTGTCCAAATTCACTTTGCGACGTCAATTCGGACAGCTTCCACTGGCTCTTTCGGCATGAAACTTCTTGACATCACTTAGTGACCTCTATCAAGTATATTCCACATGATCCAGTATCTTCATCAACCATATATTCATGATCAGTGTGGAAAATGACCGATCTGTCATCCAATATCGAGATGTTGGAGGTCGATCCGGTCTAAATCGGCAATTAACACTTTTTCATCTCCTCATACGTGCTTCAATATCATCCTCCAGTGTTATCCAATCGACCACTTCATTCATACGTCTCGACATCGGTTTCCTTGACTCTTCTGAGTATGCAAAAACTTCCAGATCGGTGTATAATTAACCAAAATCAGTACTTCCAATTTAGGATCAGTAGAGTATCACCGATCCGTATGGTGTTGCACCTTCTTTGCCGATTCACCGACCCGTACCACCTGGTCCCAGATGCACTTTGGGGAGTCACCTTGTCCCAGATGTGTCAATTCTCCAACAAATCGTTGCCACAGCATGTCGATCTGCGATCTGATCTTAGCCTGCTTCAATGTACGTATACTTCTTCTTGACCGGCATTCCAATGAGCTGTATGACTTCATCCCGATGTCTGGTTCCAGATCGCCCCATAACATTCTGCAAGATGTTACACCTTCGTCGCAGAGTCATATCCCATCACCCGGTCCCAGATCCTTGTCCCAGATTGTTCCATGTAAATCGTTCCAGATCGCTCCGTCCCAGGTCGATCCATACCCATTAGTCTAACGACAGTTGGATCGGTTCGCCGATCCCGTTAAGATCATCTTCCACCTCCGTATTGGATCGCCGAGTCTCATGGCCTCCTTTTCCACCAGTAAGCGGCGCTTTAAAGGTGTGGTCACCGATCCTCGTACAAAATTTGAGTAGTGACTTTGCCACAACCGCCCCCTGTACTGAAGTCTTTTGTACAGCAATTGACCTCAGTACAGTCACTCATTAACTTCGTTCCAAGCACTCAAGTCCGTCTCATGGCCTCTCCGACGCATCCACCCACCTCGGCGATCTCTTCAGAAGGATCCACCATGTTTCTGTCTCGCCTATTGGGATCATCCCGGATCGCAGATCCCTCGTCTGCAGGACAAGTTCAAACCTGCTCCATCGTCTTAGTCCAAGATCGATATCCAAGCCCGATCGTCTTTCATAATCGTGTAAGTCATTCAATCATCTTCTTTTTGGTACTTCAATTCTTTGCAGCTTCCACGATCTCGATCCTCATCGCTCCACATCATTCAGGAAGGTAATTCACTTGACTATCTCCATACTCACATACAAAAACCTCATCCACCAGCTTGTGCTACCGTCTAGCACATCTTTCAACCCCTACATCCGCATATGCTACCTCCCGCATACTTGTTCGAACTGTTAAGGTTCGTCCGACTTGCCTTCATGAGACTGCATTACGTCGAAACGGTTTCGACTCACTCGGTTCCGCTCAAACTCTTGCAAGATCGCCCCACAACTTAGATCGGCCTCGTCCACCCAACTTAGATCGGGATATCCCTTCCACTTCACCAGAAACTGCCGGTGTACTCGCCCATAACGGGTTTTTCTACCAGATCGCACGTCCAATATTGCCTCTACTTCGTATTCCCCTTCTTCAAGATCGCCATCCCAACTGTCTTCTGGCAGCAGAGCTTCATCGAAATCCAAGCGATCTGATCCCTCTATCGTAAGCTGATCCTTCGGGCGTTCAGGGAACGTCTTTACCTGTTTTAGCTTCGATATGTGTACAATCGGAAATAACCGATATGGGGTTCCAGCGATCTCCAATTTTACAGCATGATCTCCACATACGTCCGCAACTCGGAATGGCCCATGCCACATGTGCGCTAGCTTCTTCGCATATCCCTCTTTAACTCGGTCCAGGTATAGCCAAACTTGCGCTCCTACTTCGATCTCGTGTGGTTCCAGATCTTCGTTGTGTCGATCTGCTCGCTCCTGGATCGCGGCTTGTAAACGATCGTTCACTGCAGATCGGGCTCGCTGGTATTGTCTTTGGATTTTGTATCTCCACCTCTTTGGATCGCGATCTCGTGTCCCCGTATTCTTCACTGGTAGCGTAGCCTCCAAAGTCGATCGCGGGTCCCACCCATGAATCAGATAAAACGGGGTATCCCCCCGGATCCGATCTTGTGCAGTGTTAATGGCAAATGTGAGCCGCTCAGCATACTCATCCCAGTCTCGCTGGTCAACTTCAGCCACGTACATCTTGAGCGAATGTGTCAGGGTTTGCACCATTCGTTCGGCTGTTCCATTTGCTTGTGGCCTGTAAGCCATAGTAGCACGCTGTTTTTGTCCTACGATCCGACTGAAGGCTCGAAAGAAGTCGGACATAAATCCCGGTTCTCGATCGTGCCTGATAGCCTCGCTAGCTCCGAAGCGTCGAAACACACATTCTTCGTAATTCTCCGCTATTGTTTGTGCCGTCCGAGAGGAGCTAGCCTTTGCAATCACATATCCCGAGAAAAGGTCGACCCAAATGAGCAGTTCGGTGTTCCCCTTGATGGACTTGGGCAACGACGGTATATGATCCATGGCGATGATCTGGAATGGATAGGTTGCGTGTAGATTGCCCGGGGATTTCCCATGAATCATCGGGTTTCCTTTCCCGGTCTCACAGTCGGTACATTCGCCCACATATCGTTGAACGCTCCGATACAGTCCTCTCCAATGAAATCGCGATCTGATCCTCTGATAGGTTCGGCCAATACCCTGATGGCCTCCTTCCAGACTCGTGTGATAGTGATGCAAAAAATCCTGCTGCAACGTCTCAGGGATCACCAACCGCATCAAACCATCGCGATCTTCCGACTCTCTTTTCGCCATGGGGCAAAAAAATAGCAGATTGTTCTCATCGATCTCGTATTCCGGCGCCAGTTTGGCGCACATCTTCACTTCTACCGCATCCAAGTTTGATACATCGCCACTTAGATATGTCTTGAGATTGACAATCCAACGCTCTTCATCTTGAGCTTGGACAATTCGTTGAATCCTGATCCTCTGTACTATCTCCTCCTGTATCACTTCAGGTTCATGACGTATCCTCCTGGCTGATCTCGCGATCGCAGTTACCCGAGCTAGCTGACCATCTTGCTTGGGCTTCAACAATTCATCGAGACGGTTCAGAGTCATCAGATCTTGCCGATCCTCTTCAGCTACAACCGTTCTTCCCTTTTCGCTCTGCAATGCTGTGCTGGCTAGTCGATCTGCGCTCTGATTCCACTCTCGCTTCATATGCAGAAACTCGTGACTAGGCCATGACTGCAGCTTCTCCAACGCTTTGTGTCTCAGAAGCTGAAGGCCCGGTGCCTTGCAGTCGATCTCACCGCGCATCTGTCGAATCACCAGACTGGAATCTCCACACAGTATTACTCGCCCCCTATCCAGATCGGCGAGTAACTCAAAGCACAGTAGCAAGCCATTATACTCAGCTTCATTCACAGTCAGATCGTGAACATATCTCGATTCGGCCGCCACGATCGTCCATTCGGGTAACTTCCATATCACGGCACTGAACGACCCTCCTTTCTTTTTTTATCCTAGCCGATCCATCGAAACTGGCTACCAGCAACTCCTCATCTGTTTCCACCGTTGGAGGAGGCATCGATATTTTGAGTCGACAGTCTTTTCGTGGGGAGATCGCAATCAGCATCTCTTCCACCTCTCCTCTCGGAGTGATACTCGCTGCTAACATGCCCAGGATTTCTTCCTCTCCTCTTTCACATTTCTTCACCTCCATAGTCCAATTTGACAACAAAGCAGCCCACCGTCCTAATCTCCCGTTGAGCCCTCGAGACTGCATCAACCAGGCTAACGTAGAATGTCGGGTCAGTACAGTGATCTCCCGCGAGGCAAGCGTAGTATAGCATACATCCAACACACGAAGTAGCGCCAGCACTTCTTTTTCTACCGTTCCGTAGTTAAGCTCATTAGGCTTTAAAGTGCGGCTAGTAAACGTCACCGGATGGTACACGCCATCGTACTCCTGTATCAGGGCCGCTGAGACAGCCCACTTGCTAGCGTAGACCACGATTACGGGGGACCGATCTGGGTCGAAATGCTTGAGCATGGGAGCTGTAGCTATCTTAGCTTTTAGCATAGTGAAAGCAACCTTGGCTTCCGTCCATCGACCCTCGTTGGAGCATTCGTCTCCTGCTGCAAGCTGAGATCGGCCGATCTCGAAGAAATCCGATTCTCTTAACTCATACAACACCGCGGCATACACCGCGAAATCCTCAATGAAGCGACGGTAGTAGTTCAAGCTCCCGAGAAAGGATTGCATAGCTCGTAGCGTGCTAGGAAACGGGATGTTAACCAACGACTCTAGGTTCTTGGGCTGAGCCTCCAGACCATCCATCGACACTCGATGTCCCAAATAATCGACCTTACGGCACCCCCAAAAGCTCTTCGTGAGGCTGATAGACAGATTCCACTTATCACATGCCTCCAGCAACCGTTCTACTTTTGTGTACAAAGATCCCCATGACGTGGCTGGTATGAGAATATCGTCAATGTAAGATCGGCGTCCCAGTATAGACGGTCGTCGATCTGTCTCAGGTTCTCCATCTTTGAACACGTCGATCGGGCCATCAGAAGCTGATCTCTGGCCGATCTTGAGATATCCATACAACGCATTGTCCACCAGACGTTGGTAGATCTGGGGCGCGTTCTTAAGCCCAAAAGGCATTCGCAGCCACTCGAACAAGCCAAACGGTGTGACAAACGCTGAGATCAGTTTTGCTCGTTCAGTCATTTCGACGACCCAAAATCCACTAGCCATGTCTAGCGAACAGTACCATAGAGCTTTATCCAGATCTTCCAACAGATCGCTGATCAACGGCATGGGATAAACCATCAGACGCGTCAGCTGGTTCACTCTTCGATAATCAATGCAAAGGCGAATATCCACTCCGTTCTTCTTGATGATCACCACTATCGGAGACGCCCAAGGTGACGTGGATGGCTGAACGATTTTGGCTGCTAATAGTCCTTTGATGAGATCTGACAGCTTCTCCCGATATTTGGGTGCGACCGGACGCACTCTTTGCGCTATCGGTGCTGCCCCACCGACATCAATATCACAGATCGCGCCTCGTGCTGCTGGTGGTAGAGCATTACCTTTACCCATGAGGAGGTGACGGCTCTTCCAGATCAGCGATCTGAGCCGTTGTTGATCTGTGGTGAGAGGCACATCGGGATCACCGATCTGAATGTCCTCAATCGTAACTTCTTCCGTAGTCGCCGACATCTCTGGTAGCACGGCCATATGCTGCTCGATATCTTCCGCAAACAAATCTCCGCTCTCGTGGTGATAAACTGGTATTTCTGCAATCTCGACGTCTTCAGTATTTAGCATTATTTCTTCTTTAGGCTCCTTCGTCTCTTCCGGCTGGCCCAATTTCAACAGTCGGTCAGTCGGCTCAGCCTTCGGTAGAGACGATCTGTCACGTAGCCCTTCTTGACCGGTGTCGCGGTCTCCCTTCGTTGCATGTTGGGTACCGATCTCATGACCGTTCTCCATCCGCGATAGTTCGGCTCCCCTGACCGTTACTTCCCTCGCAACTACAGCATCTGCCTTTTGCGAATCGTCATCGTTAGCTTGCGGCGTTACCGTGGAGATCGCCGGAGACAGGTTCTGTAACGCATCAGACGGACGTTTCAAGATGCGTTTGGGAGCGGCATACGTAGGACGGTCTACCAATGGTCCGATCGGTTCTTTCGGGAGTTCGTTCACTCGATACGTCGTAGCCTCATATGCCAGAGTTTGCCATTCCTTGTACTTCCCTGACCCGACTGTCACCAAACCTTGAGTTCGCGGTACCATATCGCCTTCGACCCACATGCCTAATATAGTGTGGGTGGGCAGTATGATCTCACGGTCGCCAATGTTGGTCATCTGCAGGTATTTCGTCTTACCCCACCCCAAGATCACAGTGGGGACCCAATCTAGTCCTCTAGCGACCCACAACTTCATCTTAGCCCCTCCGATCCCGATCTTCACTTCCCTTGACTCTCCGACCGGGATCACCACGTGTTGGTCCTTCGCCGTTATATGTTGTATCTTCGATCCGTACGCGGGGCGACGTCCTGCGAGATGAATGCGGATTTCTTCTGGTAGACATAGCGCGCCATCCGCTAGATCGAGCCGCACTCCAGCAGGCACCATAAAATCCATACCCAGAATCGCTTCTTGCCCTGCCAGATCGCCTACCCATACATTGAAATAGTATACCAGCGATCCCGCGAGGGTCACCTTGATCTTGGTACGTCCTACCGTCATGTACGGAGTTTCTCCAATCCCGATACATTCTTGTCGTTGACTTTCGTCAATATTGCAACCGACCTCACGAGCAAAGGTGGTGTCAATGATCGACACTTCAGCACCAGAATCAAATAACAGAGTAGCTTTTACGTTGTTGATCTTGCCAACGGCTTTCGCTTGTTTGAACCACTTCCCGGGTGAATAATGTTTCCAGTATCCGCGAGATTCACCATAAGCGAGCTCGATCTCCATAGCTGGTTCAGATCGTGAGTACTCATCGATCCGCTTCAGATGGGACACGGAAGCGACACGTTTTAACTTCGAACGAGATATATTTGTTTCCACGTCAATATCCTGCTTACTCTCGTGATCTGTCTTCTTTTTTTTCCACGTATGCAATAATGCAGAGCCCAGAACGCTCGGCTCGTACCAGATTCAAACCTGGCGAGCGTCCTAGTTTAACATCTTCTCGGCCTTCTCTGGTAGCATCCCCGCATGCTTATTCGGGACGTACCACTGACGGATCATGTTGTAGAACTCCTCCATGGGACACTTCCCCGGGTCGTGCATCTCACCGCAAGCACGACACACGAAAAAAACAATTGTCAGAGGGGTGTCCTTTACGCCCACACTTCTGGCAAGTGAGCCGCTTCCAGCAACCGAGATCTCCATGCTTGGTCGATCCGCAATGAGTACACGGCTTCAATGGCATATTGCGATCTTTATAGTCTTGACGAGTGTTCGGGTCGACCGATCTCGCGTTTGCTGCAACGTCATTGGGGGATGAACGGCGATCCGCAGTAGCAGCCACATGGATCGATCTCAATCGATCTTCCGAATCCGATCCGCAGGTGTCCGATCCTGACTCGCTGCAGACGTCCTCGGTACGGACCATCCTTACCGCTCGTGCAGGCTTAGACAGCGCTGGACCCTGAGTTCCCTTCTGCCTGAATTTGGACGATCCCATCATCACTTTCCCTTGACGCGATCTCCCTTGTTGATATCCGTGCAGTGTCTTTTGCATGGCCTCCGCGTCTTCTACATTCAGCAGTAGCAATTGATTGGACAGATCGGGGTCGTCCAAGGTGTCAATGAAATGATTGACATGTTCCTTGCGCGCAGCTGGCAATCCAGTCATCACCGGTATCTTCGCCTGCATTCCCATCACATTAAGCCGATACAGGTACTGTAAAGGATCTTCCTCCGATCGTTTCTTTGCATGGTAGTACTGCCTGCTCGCGGACATCCCGTGTCCCGCATACTCCACTAGAAAACTGTTCATCAATTCTTTCCAATTGAATCTCGTCGATCTACTCAGCTGTCGATACCAGTAGCGGGCTGGGCCCACCATGAGATCACCGAAGACCAGACATCTCTCCTCGTCCGGTGCTTGGTCCCGGATAAACGCTGATTTCACTTTGCCGATCCAGGTCCGTGCTTTGTCTTCTTCCCGATCCTTCCCTGAGAATTCTTTCAGCTCAGAAATCGCTGAGATTCTGATCCTCTGCGTGATGCTTCCCCCTCCGGTAGTCGCACCGGTCGCGGCTACATGAGGGCGCCGTGGTTCGGGCATCCATAGATCATCCGGGTCGTATTCCGCCGCCTCATGGATATGTTGGTAAATGTCCGACCCCACCGACTCCATCTCCACATCCGGCATGTCAAGGCTTTCGTGTGAAGGTTGGAGCAAAGTACGTCGATCTGGGTAGCGGTTTGGCTGTCGATTCATTCGCTGAGCTGTACGTTGATCCGCCTCGTACTTCTTCATGGCTGAATTGAAGTACCGACTTAGATCGCCCTCTTCTTGATCCTCCAGCCCAGTGCGGGTACTGGCCGATCTCTGCGGCATGTTGCTCTTGGCTTGTCCCTTATAGGCGTCGATCTTGGCTTGTCCGATCTTGTCCTTTAAGAACCTTCCACCCGATGGTCCTAGAGACATCTGACGAATGCTGATGGATCCATCTGACTCGCTCTCGGAGTCATCCGAGGCGTAGCGGGGCGATCCCGCGGGGTGTTTACAGAGCGAGCCCGAGGGCGTCCCGATCTTGTCTTCAGGAGTATTCGCTTTGCCCACCAGCATTATCATGATCTCTACAAACTCATTCGCCGCGTCCTTCAACTGTTCCAAGCTGCAACTCAGCAGTTCATCTCCATCAAAAGCGTCAGGGCAGATACCCATGTCGTCCAACATCTGCAAAATCAAATTGATCTCGTCGACTTTGTTGGTCCCGTGAAGTGGGACCGAGATCGGCTTATCCAGAGGACCAATCACCTTGGGCCTTAATATCTTGAACACTGGGTCCGTCTTGAGCAGCGTCTTCAACTGGCCATAATAGTACTGCCATTTTGCACGCTCCCGCGCTTCACCCGTCGTCTCCTTCTCCATGGACGCGATCTTTATTGGGTTATATTCCGTCTTTGGCATCGCGATCTTATCTGGTGTTTCATTGTATTCCTCTTTGGCTCCGATCTTCGATTGCACGGTTCGGCCGATCTGGCGATCTTTGACATCTGATCCCATCGATCTCGTCGCGGATCGTTCTGATGTGGTCGATCTCGCGATTGTGCTCTTCGGCTTGAGGTCGGGCGATCTATCGACTAAGATGTAGGGTTTGGCTTTCGCCGATTTGGTTTTCACCATTGGATTTTCATCCAGCAGATCGCTCTTTGCAGTGCGATCTGCGGTGGCCCCCGAAGGGACCCTAGGAGGGGATTGAGGTTTATCTTCCAGATCGATCTCTCGATCTTCCTCTTTCATTTTCATTTCATCAGAGCCCCTCCCAAAACTCTGATGATCTGAGGATCTTGTGCTTCTGCGTGTCTGCGTCGATCCCTTTGTCGCTGACACTTCAATCCCAGGTTCTTGCTTAATCTTGACATCTTCGCCAGTGGACTCACGGTGAAATCCAGAGGCCTCAGAAGATCCGGGCACGCACACCATTGTGGTGAAGTCGATCTCAAAAAATTGCTTGTATGAGTGTCGATCTTCCACTTGCCCAGACTTGCCGACTCACGGAGGGGGTACTCCGATCCGTGCCTTGTTGTATGACCTTGTGCTCACCTTGTGTACCCGTCGGTTGGGCTGGCTTGAGCTCTTCGTAACGGCCTTGGGAGATGTCGATCTCGCTGAGAGGTTGGGTTGAGGGTTCGCTTCCGGTGCGGAAATCTTCACACCACGAACGGGGGTTCTGCGATCCCGATCTTGGATCGCACCGATCTTGATTTGTCTTCGAGATCGGGGTCTTTGCTGTGCGGAAATCTTCACTCAGCAAATAAAAGTCCTGCGTCGATCTTGCCTTGGGATCGGTCCGATCTGGTCTTGGGATCGGCCGATCTTGCCGGAAGTGCGCAATTTGGGTAGATCGGTGTCTTGTTTCGCCAAAATGAAACGTGCCGATCTGTCCAGGGGATCGCTTCGATCCTGCTCGGTCTTGTCTTGAACGCCTTGTCCAGATCTTCTGACCACTTGAGCCGTCTCGCGATCCTGTGTCCAAAATCCTTTTCCTTTTCCGTTGTGTGCTGCTACCCTAGCAGTTGAGTTGAGTGTGAGTACTTGATCGATCCGGGCCAGATATCCCGGGATCGCTCTTCTCGATCTTGGCCAACAATCCAAGATCGGTCTTCTGTGTCCCTGTAACACGCGTGCCTTAACCCACCGGGGAAGCCAAATCAATCTTGCCTGGAGAAGAGGGGAGGATAACGTGCGTCGTGAGCAGAAGAAGTAGAGTTCAAGTCTGTTTATTAACCAACCAAATTACTATCCAACCTACCCTTAAGCCTATTCTTAACTATAGGTCACTCTTCAAACCGATATCGCCTTGAATCTGGTTCGCCCCCTTGCCACGTGTCGAAATTCCGTGCCCTGTACTCCAATGATAGCGCCAATATCCCCGATATCGTACCTAGAGCACCAAATGGACCAAAATCTCCTATATGGTACCAAATACCCATTCTTGGCACCCAAGTACCCAATATATGACCCAAAATGCCGAAGGTGTCCAAATTCACTTTGCGACGTCAATTCGGACAGCTTCCACTGGCTCTTTCGGCATGAAACTTCTTGACATCACTTAGTGACCTCTATCAAGTATATTCCACATGATCCAGTATCTTCATCAACCATATATTCATGATCAGTGTGGAACATGACCGATCTGTCATCCAATATCGAGATGTTGGAGGTCGATCCGGTCTAAATCGGCAATTAACACTTTTTCATCTCCTCATACGTACTTCAATATCATCCTCCAGTGTTATCCAATCGACGACTTCATTCATACGTCTCGACATCGGTTTCCTTGACTCCCCTGAGTATGCAAAACTTCCAGATCGGTGTATAATTAACCAAAATCAGTACTCCCAATTTAGGATCGGTAAAGAGTATCACCGATCCGTATGGTGTTGCACCTTCTTTGCCGATTCACCGATCCGTACCACCTGGTCCCAGATGCAATTTGGGGAGTCACCTTGTCCCAGATGTGTCAATTCTCCAACAAACCGTTGCCACAACATGTCGATCTGCGATCTGATCTTAGCCTGCTTCAATGTACGTATACTTCTTCTTGACCGGCATTCCAATGAGCTGTATGACTTCATCCCGACGTCTGGTTCCAAATCGCCCCATAACATTCTGCAAGGTGTTACACCTTCGTCGCAGAGTCATATCCCATCACCCGGTCCCAGATCCTTGTCCCAGATTGTTCCATGTAAATCGTTCCAGATCGCTCCGTCCCAGGTCGATCCATACCCATTAGTCTAACGACAGTTGGATCGGTTCGCCGATCCCGTTAAGATCATCTTCCACCTCCGTATTGGATCGCCGAGTCTCATGGCCTCCTTTTCCACCAGTAAGCGGCGCTTTAAAGGTGTGGTCACCGATCCTCGTACAAAATTTGAGTAGTGACTTTGCCACAGACTCTACTGGCTTCGGACGACTCAACAATCAGCGAATGTGACAACAAGTGGAACCAGTTGTGCCGATCTACATGCGAGAATGGGTCATGCTCCAGTCGATGTACTTCGCAAGATGATCGCGACCAACATGATCAAGGATGTGCGAGTCCCTCTCAAGTCGGGTGGAGCAACTACATGTCGAGGATGTCAACAAGGGAAAATGGTCCAAAAACCATTTCCAAGCAACCGAGACAAGCGCAGCTACGATACGTTTGAGCTACTTCATCTGGACACCTGCGGGCCCATGGAAAAGGATTCGCTCGGTGGCAGCAAATATTTGCTGCTGATCATCGACGAAGCCAGTGGATGCATGAAGGGCTTTTGTCTACGAGTGAAGTCCGAGAGTGAAGACTACATCCGGAAATATATCACGATGGTGCAGACGCAGTTCGGCAAGAAGGTCAAGTTTGTGCGCCAAGACGGAGCTCGCGAGTTTGCAACCAGGTCGCTGTGAATGTTCTACGAAGACGAAGGCATTGAACAACAGACTACGGTGCCGTATGCACACCAGACCAACGGAACAGCAGAGCGCGCCATTCGGATCGTCACGATCGGCCGCAGCATGCGTCACCATGCCAAGTTGGACAAGCTCTTCTGGGCTGAAGCAGCAATGACGGCCATCTACGTCAAGAATCGACTGCCGTCACCTAAAGTCGTGCACAAGACCCCCGTTTGGAGATTCTACAACTACACTTGAAACCAAGCGTCAAGCACATGCGAACATTCGGGTGTCAGACATACATACTGACGCCTAAAGAGAATCGACTCAAGTGGGATCCAAAGGCTCGCGCTGGTATATTCGTGGGCTACGAAGAAGTGTCGAAGGAAGGCATATCGTGTTTATGACATCGAGGCGGGGCAGGTGGTTATCAGCCGCGATGTCAACTTCGACGAGTCCACCTTTGGACTTCAACTGCCGATCACTGATAAAGATGTCGATGACCTGGACTTCGAAATGCTGGATCTTGATGACGAAGAGCTGCGTCAAATGGAGTACAAGCAAACAGGCAAGCGCAAGAACCGACTCAATGATGAAGATACAGCAGCTCCACGACCGCGTGCAGTGCTTCAACGACCAGGACTAGAAGAGTCAAGCGCGCCGGAAAACAACTCGTCACGCCAAGAAGAAGACGAAGAAACGAAGGATTCTGTTGATTCAACACCGCCTGTGTTTTGGCGTGCGAGTGCAAATGCCGTTGAAGCAGCAGTGGACTTATCGGAGCCCTCAACCTTTGAAGCAGCAGTAAGCGGCCCTGACCAAGTGCACTGGAGAAAAGCAATTCATGCAGAGCTCGAGTCAATGCGACTTCGCGGTGTGTTTCGTGCAGCCAAGCTGCCCAACGGACAACGCGCCATTGGCACAAAATGGGTGTTCAAGATCAAGCGCAAGGCGGATGGGTCAATCGAGAAGTACAAGGCACGACTTGTGGCCAAGGGTTTCCGCCAAAAGTATGGCATCGACTACACGGAGACGTTTTCGCCTGTGGTCAAGTATGTGACGCTGCGAATGGTGATCGCAATTTCCAAGCATTTTGGATGGCCCATCGACCAGCTTGATGTGGTGACAGCTTTCCTGTATGGCGTCATGAAGGAACAAGTGTTCTGCGTGATTCCTGAAGGCGTCGAACTTGACAGTACGTTCGACTGCCTGGAATTGGTGAAGTCAATTTACGGCCTCAAGCAAGCGTCGCGAGTGTGGAACGAGACGTTCGACGAGTATGTGTGCTCCATCGGATTTTAAGTATCGGACTTCGACCCATGTCTCTACATCAAGACTTCGGACGGCCATTGCGTGTTTATACTGGTCTACGTGGACGACGTCTTGGTGACTGGAAGCTCGCTCGAGCTGATTGCACAAACCAAGAACGACCTGAAGACGCGGTTCGAGATGACGGACAGCGGCAAGTGTGCGTTTGTTCTTGGGATCGAGCTTTTGGACGGTGAAGATGGCAGTGTGACACTATGTCAGCGTCGGTATGTCGATGATATCCTCAAACGCTTTGGCATGGATGATTGCAAGGAAGTCGCAAGTCCAGTCGACATGAGCTCTCGACTTGTTTCAAGTGATGCAACTACCAAGGTCGATGCTCCTTTTCGCGAAGCTGTTGGTGCGTTGATGCACCTGACCACTGCAACGCGTCCGGACATTGCGTTTGCTGTGGGATATGTGTCGCGGTTCATGGAAAATCCCCAAGAAGAACACTGGGTTGCAGTTAAGCGTATCTTTCGCTACCTACAAGGCACCAAGACGCATGGAATTTGCTACAAGCCAAGTGCAAGGATCGACTTCCGTGGATATTCGGATGCGGATTGGGCTGGTGATCTTACCGACCGCAAGTCAACATCGGGGTACACGTTCATGCTACTCGGTGCGCCAGTGAGTTGGGGCAGCAAGAAGCAGCCAAGTGTTTCGTTGTCCACGACTGAAGCTGAATACATCGCACTCAGCTTGGCGATTCAAGAGGGCAAGTGGATTCATCGTCTGCTTTGTGAGATCGTGATGGCTGCCAATGAAGAAGGACCGGAACTCATGATTCATGAAGACAATCAGTCATGTATCAAGATGACGAAGAACCCGGTCAATCACGGCCGTGCCAAGCACATTGATATCAAGTAGCATCACATCCGTGATGAGGTTGTTGAATGGTGAAAAGCTTGACGACCGAAACTGGGAGGGATGCTGGGAGTCCACTTGGAAGACCGGAGAAGACACTTGGGGGTAGATGGAAGATTGGAAAGTGATTGATTATCGGGGCTTACTACTTACTACATGATTTATATGTGGTGCACATATAAATCATGTGAAGCGTCTCATCATCCTACGCGTCTAACCAACTATAGTAATTACCGTAAGAACTACGTCGTAAATACTAAGCTGAACAGGCGGTTCGGATTGGACCGGTCACGGTAATCAATACTGGTAGAAACTGATGACCGTCAACACGCCCCCTCAATCCGAACTCGCACGAATGCCGAGAGCCGTCGTCAAGTTCTTGTGGCGAGGTCCCGTGAAGTCCCTTGGTCATGATGTCCGCCATCATCACGGAAGTCTCGCAATACTCGAGCTGCACTTCACCGCGCTTGACCTCATCACGGATGTGATGGTACTTGATGTCGATGTGCTTGGCGCGGCCATGATTCACCGGATTCTTCGTCATCTTGGTGCACGACTGGTTGTCTTCACGGATGACGAGGTCCGGTCCTGGTTCGTTGTTGCGGCCGCCAAAATCTCGCATAGCAAGCGATGCACCCACTTGCCTTCCTGGATGGCCAGACTCAGTGCGATGTATTCCGCTTCACTCGACGACAGCGACACACTTGACTGCTTCTTGCTTCCCCAACTCACAGGAGCACCCATCAGCATGAAAGTGTAACCCGAAGTCAACTTGCGATCAGCGTGGTCGCCGGCCCAGTCCGCGTCCGAGTAGCCACGAAAGTCGATCTTGTCGCTTGGCTGGAAGCGGAGTCCGTGCGGCTTGGTCCCTTGCAAGTAACGAAAGATGCGCTTCACCGCCGTCCAATGTTCTTGCTGCAGATTCTCCATGAAGCGCGAGACGTACCCCACAGCATACGCAATGTCCGGGCGCGTCGCAGTCGTCAAGTGCATCAAAGCTCCCACAGCTTCACGAAACGGAACGTCGATCTTGGCCGCTTCGCTGCTTCCGACAAGCCGAGTGCTCAAGTCGACCGGACTTGCTGTGGCCTTGCACTCATCCATGCCGAAGCGCTTGAGGATGTCGTTGACATACCGTCGCTGGCACATCGTCACGCTGCCATCCGATTCGTCCACCAGTTCGATGCCCAGTACAAAAGTACACTTGCCACTGTCGGTCATCTCGAAACGCGTCTTGAGGTCGGCCTTCGTCTGCGCAATCAACTCGAGCGAGCTGCCGGTGACCAACACGTCATCCACGTAGACCAGCACGAGCACACAGTGACCGTCGACAACCTTGATGTAGAGACATGGGTCGAACGCCGACGCTTCGAAACCGATAGAGCATACGAACTCGTCGAAAGTCTCGTTCCACACACGTGAAGCTTGCTTGAGACCGTAGATCGCCTTCACCAACTCGAGACAGTCGAAGTCGCCATCCATCTCGACGCCTTCTGGTATCACGCAGTACACCTTCTCCTTCATCACTCCGTAGAGAAAGGCTGTCACCACATCGAGTTGGTCCAGTGGCCAGTCGAAATACTTGGTGATCGCGATCACCATACGCAGTGTCACGTACTTGACCACGGGCGAGAACGTCTCTGTGTAGTCGATGCCATACTTCTGCTTGAAGCCCTTGGCAACGAGACGCGCCTTGTATTTCTCGACCGATCCATCCGCTTTGCGCTTGATCTTGAACACCCACTTGTTGCCGATCGCGCCTTGGCCTCTTGGCAGTTTTGCCGCACGGAAAACTCCACGAAGATGCATCGACTTGAGTTCCGCCTTCACAGCATTTCGCCAGTGAGCTTGATCAGGACCATTGATCGCGTCTTGAAAAGTCACAGGTTCTGCTAGGTCCGTTGCTTCCACTGCGTTTGCACTTGCACGCCAAAATGTTGGAGGTGTCGAGTCGTCATCTTGATCGTAGACGCTTTCATCTTCTTCGTCATCAGACATCGTTTCAGGAGCACTTGATCGTCGTTTCTGGTGACGGTTGGAGACGTGTTCCGGCGCACTTGCTTGTTCCAACCCAGTTCGAGGGCGAGCTGAACGTGACATGCCGGGTCTTGCTTCACTCTGCGCTTGCCAGTCTGCTTGTAGACGGTTTGACGCACGTCGTCCTCGTTGATCGCCAGGAGGTCGAGGTCCAACTCCGCATCTTCATCATCGTCACTTGGTCGGTCCATTGAAAAGTCAAAAGTCGATTCGTCGAAGGTGATGTCACGACTGATCACCACTTGGCCCGCCTCAATGTCGTACACTCGATAAGCTTTTGACGCTTATTCGTAGCCCATGAACATCCCTTCACGAGCCTTCGGGTCCCACTTCAATCTCTTCTCCCTTGGTGTCAGGATAAACGCCCGACATACAAACACGCGCATGTGGTTGACACTTGGTTTCGACTTGTACACGATTTCGAACGGAGTCTTGTGGTCGATCTTGGGTGAAGGCAGGCGGTTCTTGATGTAGATCGCCGTCATTGCCGCTTCAGCCCAGAAACACTTCTCCAGCTTTGCATGATGCAACAAGCTGCGTCCGATCGTGACGATGGTCCTTATCGCTCGTTCTGCGGTGCCGTTGGTCTGGTGTGCATACGGCACCGTGATCTGTTGTTCGATACCATGATCTTCGTAGAAGGTCTTGATGGAGCTGGTCGCAAACTCATGCGCTCCATCGTGCCGAACAAACTTGATCTTCGTGCCGAACTGAGTTTGAATCTTGATGATGTGGTTCTTGATACAGTCTTCACTCTCAGACTTGGACCGCAGACAGAAGCCCTTCATGCAACCGCTGGCTTCATCAACCACAAGCAGTAAGTATCTGCTGCCACCGATCGAGACTGGTTCCATTGGCCCGCAGATGTCGAAGTGCAGCAACTCGAACACACCATATTGGCGTTTGTCACGGTTGGTTGGGAATGGTTTTTGGACCATCTTTCCTTGCTGGCAACCGCGACACACACTTGGACCAGTCGAGTTGAGAGGTGCCTTGGCGTCCTTGATCATACCAGTGGCCACCATCTTGCGCAGAACTTCGAGGGGTGCATGACCCATGCGCGCATGCAAGTCGATGGTCCCATTGCGTGTTGCTGCATTCGCCGATCGTTGAGGAGTCCGCAGCCAGTAAAGTCCATCGACGAGATCCGCTGTTGCCACGACTTGTGTGGAATTCTTGCGCTTCACTTGCATCTTGGACCCATCGAACACGACTTGGAACCTGCCACCCTTGTTGATCTGTGGCACCGAAAGCAGATTCTTGCTCATACTTGGTACGAACAGTGCGTCCTTGATCTCGATGTCGTGTTCGTCACCATTGGGCAGAACCACCCGTTCCAGGATGGTTCCCACACCCTTGATCGCAGCCTTGCTGCCATCAGCCACTGATAGTTCGCCTTCCTCTCGCTCATTCAGGCTTGCAAACTTGGCTTTGTCGTTGCAGATGTGATGCGTCGCACCGCTGTCGACTGCCCACATCCCTGGCATATTCTTGCCCGTCGAAAGTCCAGCCTCCAGCGAAACCGCGAAGGCAACTCGATCGTAGTTGTCGTCGTTGTTGTTGTTGGTTCGCCACTGAACGTTGTTGGCTCCGCGTCCACGAGCATTGTTGCCGCCGCGTCGAGCTCCACCTTGATTTTCGTCCTTCTGCTTGGTCCAGCACCGCTCCGCCGTGTGCCCCAATTTTCCGCAGTATATACACTGGCGAGGTTCACGCTCGGTACTGAACGCCTTCGCCGCGTCTTCAGTCTTCACCGATGTCGTCTTGTCACCTTGCCTCTTGATGTGCTCATTCGTGAGCACTCTCACGACGTCTCGCGATCGCAGTTCCGCGCTGCTCATCTCCAAGTTGAGAACGACGTTCTCGTAGCTCTTGGGGAGGCTGCGCAACAAGCAGATCGCCACGTCCTCGTCCTCCATCTTGGCGCCGATGCTGCTGAGCTTCGCGCTGATGTTGAGGACTTCGTTGCAATGATGCATCACATTGCCGCCTTCCGCCATCTCCATGCTGAACAGCTGGCGCTTCAAGTAGATGCGTCCAGCCTTCTGCGACCCGCCGTACAGCGTCTTCGAAAGTGCCCACGCGACCCACGCCTCTTCACAGTCATCAACCACGTGATGATAATCCGCGCTCATGTGCAGCAGCATCAAGCCGAACGCAATGTTGTTCGTCTTGACGTAGTCGTCACTGGCGCGAGGATCGGCGAAGGTGGGGGTGGTCTCCCGGTTCACCACGTGCCACGCCGACTTGGTCAGGAACACGCCACGCATGTAGCGGCTCCACGTCGCGTAGTTGTCGCCGTCGAACTTGTCGATGGAGATATTGGTGGTGGCATCATGAGCAGAGGACATCGTGCTTGGGCTCATAACCTGTTGAATGGTGAAAAGCTTGACGACCGAAACTGGGAGGGATGCTGGGAGTCCACTCGGAAGACCGGAGAAGACACTTGGGGGTAGATGGAAGATTGGAAAGTGATTGATTATCGGGGCTTACTACTTACTACATGATTTATATGTGGTGCACATATAAATCATGTGAAGCGTCTCATCATCCTACGCGTCTAACCAACTATAGTAATTACCGTAAGAACTACGTCGTAAATACTAAGCTGAACAGGCGGTTCGGATTGGACCGGTCACGGTAATCAATACTGGTAGAAACTGATGACCGTCAACACGCCCCCTCAATCCGAACTCGCACGAATGCCGAGAGCCGTCGTCAAGTTCTTGTGGCGAGGTCCCGAAAGTCCCTTGGTCATGATGTCCGCCATCATCACGGAAGTCTCGCAATACTCGAGCTGCACTTCACCGCGCTTGACCTCATCACGGATGTGATGGTACTTGATGTCGATGTGCTTGGCGCAGCCATGATTCACCGGATTCTTCGTCATCTTGGTGCACGACTGGTTGTCTTCACGGATGACGAGGTCCGGTCCTGGTTCGTTGTTGCGGCCGCCAAAATCTCGCATAGCAGGCGATGCACCCACTTGCCTTCCTGGATGGCCAGACTCAGTGCGATGTATTCCGCTTCACTCGACGACAGCGACACACTTGACTGCTTCTTGCTTCCCCAACTCACAGGAGCACCCATCAGCATGAAAGTGTAACCCGAAGTCAACTTGCGATCAGCGTGGTCTCCGGCCCAGTCCGCGTCCGAGTAGCCACGAAAGTCGATCTTGTCGCTTGGCTGGAAGCGGAGTCCGTGCGACTTGGTCCCTTGCAAGTAACGAAAGATGCGCTTCACCGCCGTCCAATGTTCTTGCTGCGGATTCTCCATGAAGCGCGAGACGTACCCCACAGCATACGCAATGTCCGGGCGCGTCGCAGTCGTCAAGTGCATCAAAGCTCCCACAGCTTCACGAAACGGAACGTCGATCTTGGCCGCTTCGCTGCTTCCGACAAGCCGAGTGCTCAAGTCGACCGGACTTGCTGTGGCCTTGCACTCATCCATGCCGAAGCGCTTGAGGATGTCGTTGACAACCGTCGCTGGCACATCGTCACGCTGCCATCCGATTCGTCCACCAGTTCGATGCCCAGTACAAAAGTACACTTGCCACTGTCGGTCATCTCGAAACGCGTCTTGAGGTCGGCCTTCGTCTGCGCAATCAACTCGAGCGAGCTGCCGGTGACCAACACGTCATCCACGTAGACCAGCACGAGCACACAGTGACCGTCGACAACCTTGATGTAGAGACATGGGTCGAACGCCGACGCTTCGAAACCGATAGAGCATACGAACTCGTCGAAAGTCTCGTTCCACACACGTGAAGCTTGCTTGAGACCGTAGATCGCCTTCACCAACTCGAGACAGTCGAAGTCGCCATCCATCTCGACGCCTTCTGGTATCACGCAGTACACCTTCTCCTTCATCACTCCGTAGAGAAAGGCTGTCACCACATCGAGTTGGTCCAGTGGCCAGTCGAAATACTTGGTGATCGCGATCACCATACGCAGTGTCACGTACTTGACCACGGGCGAGAACGTCTCTGTGTAGTCGATGCCATACTTCTGCTTGAAGCCCTTGGCAACGAGACGCGCCTTGTATTTCTCGACCGATCCATCCGCTTTGCGCTTGATCTTGAACACCCACTTGTTGCCGATCGCGCCTTGGCCTCTTGGCAGTTTTGCCGCACGGAAAACTCCACGAAGATGCATCGACTTGAGTTCCGCCTTCACAGCATTTCGCCAGTGAGCTTGATCAGGACCATTGATCGCGTCTTGAAAAGTCACAGGTTCTGCTAGGTCCGTTGCTTCCACTGCGTTTGCACTTGCACGCCAAAATGTTGGAGGTGTCGAGTCGTCATCTTGATCGTAGACGCTTGCATCTTCTTCGTCATCAGACATCGTTTCAGGAGCACTTGATCGTCGTTTCTGGTGACGGTTGGAGACGTGTTCCGGCGCACTTGCTTGTTCCAACCCAGTTCGAGGGCGAGCTGAACGTGACATGCCGGGTCTTGCTTCACTCTTGCGCTTGCCAGTCTGCTTGTAGACGGTTTGACGCACGTCGTCCTCGTTGATCGCCAGGAGGTCGAGGTCCAACTCCGCATCTTCATCATCGTCACTTGGTCGGTCCATTGAAAAGTCAAAAGTCGATTCGTCGAAGGTGATGTCACGACTGATCACCACTTGGCCCGCCTCAATGTCGTACACTCGATAAGCTTTTGACGCTTCTTCGTAGCCCATGAACATCCCTTCACGAGCCTTCGGGTCCCACTTCAATCGCTTCTCCCTTGGTGTCAGGATAAACGCCCGACATCCAAACACGCGCATGTGCTTGACACTTGGTTTCGACTTGTACACGATCTCGAACGGAGTCTTGTGGTCGATCTTGGGTGAAGGCAGGCGGTTCTTGATGTAGATCGCCGTCATTGCCGCTTCAGCCCAGAAACACTTCTCCAGTTTTGCATGATGCAACAAGCTGCGTCCGATCGTGACGATGGTCCTTATCGCTCGTTCTGCGGTGCCGTTGGTCTGGTGTGCATACGGCACCGTGATCTGTTGTTCGATACCATGATCTTCGTAGAAGGTCTTGATGGAGCTGGTCGCAAACTCATGCGCTCCATCGTGCCGAACAAACTTGATCTTCGTGCCGAACTGAGTTTGAATCTTGATAATGTGGTTCTTGATACAGTCTTCACTCTCAGACTTGGACCGCAGACAGAAGCCCTTCATGCAACCGCTGGCTTCATCAACCACAAGCAGTAAGTATCTGCTGCCACCGATCGAGACTGGTTCCATTGGCCCGCAGATGTCGAAGTGCAGCAACTCGAACACACCATATTGGCGTTTGTCACGGTTGGTTAAGAATGGTTTTTGGACCATCTTTCCTTGCTGGCAACCGCGACACACACTTGGACCAGTCGAGTTGAGAGGTGCCTTGGCGTCCTTGATCATGCCAGTGGCCACCATCATGCGCAGAACTTCGAGGGGTGCATGACCCATGCGCGCATGCAAGTCGATGGTCCCATTGCGTGTTGCTGCATTTGCCGATCGTTGAGGAGTCCGCAGCCAGTAAAGTCCATCGACGAGATCCGCTGTTGCCACGACTTGTGTGGAATTCTTGCGCTTCACTTGCATCTTGGACCCATCGAACACGACTTGGAACCTGCCACCCTTGTTGATCTGTGGCACCGAAAGCAGATTCTTGCTCATACTTGGTACGAACCCGTTGTCGCGTTCGTCACCATTGGGCAGAACCACCCGTTCCATGATGGTTCCCACACCCTTGATCGCAGCCTTGCTGCCATCAGCCACTGATAGTTCGCCTTCCTCTCGCTCATTCAGGCTTGCAAACTTGGCTTTGTCGTTGCAGATGTGATGCGTCGCACCACTGTCGACTGCCCACATCCCTGGCATATTCTTGCCCGTCGAAAGTCCAGCCTCCAGCGAAACCGCGAAGGCAACTCGATCGTAGTTGTCGTCGTTGTTGTTGTTGGTTCGCCACTGAACGTTGTTGGCTCCGCGTCCACGAGCATTGTTGCCGCCGCGTCGAGCTCCACCTTGATTTTCGTCCTTCTGCTTGATCCAGCATCGTTCTACCGTATGTCCCAATTTTCCGCAGTACGTGCAGTGATGCGGTTCACGCTCGGTAAACGCCTTGGCCGCGTCTTCAGTCTTCACCGATGTCGTCTTGTCACCTTGCCTCTTGATGTGCTCATTCGTGAGCACTCTCACGACGTCTCGCGATCGCAGTTCCGCGCTGCTCATCTCCAAGTTGAGAACGACGTTCTCGTAGCTCTTGGGGAGGCTGCGCAACAAGCAGATCGCCACGTCCTCGTCCTCCATCTTGGCGCCGATGCTGCTGAGCTTCGCGCTGATGTTGAGGACTTCGTTGCAATGATGCATCACATTTCCGCCTTCCGCCATCTCCATGCTGAACAGCTGGCGCTTCAAGTAGATGCGTCCAGCCTTCTGCGACCCGCCGTACAGCGTCTTCGAAAGTGCCCACGCGACCCACGCCTCTTCACAGTCATCAACCACGTGATGATAATCCGCGCTCATGTGCAGCAGCATCAAGCCGAACGCAATGTTGTTCGTCTTGACGTAGTCGTCACTGGCGCGAGGATCGGCGAAGGTGGGGGTGGTCTCCCGGTTCACCACGTGCCACGCCGACTTGGTCAGGAACACGCCACGCATGTAGCGGCTCCACGTCGCGTAGTTGTCGCCGTCGAACTTGTCGATGGAGATCTTGGTGGTGGCATCATGAGCAGAGGACATCGTGCTTGGGCTCATAACCTGTCGAATGGTGAAAAGCTTGACGACCGAAACTGGGAGGGATGCTGGGAGTCCACTCGGAAGACCGGAGAAGACACTTGGGGGTAGATGGAAGATTGGAAAGTGATTGATTATCGGGGCTTACTACTTACTACATGATTTATATGTGGTGCACATATAAATCATGTGAAGCGTCTCATCATCCTACGCGTCTAATCAACTATGGTAATTACCGTAAGAACTACGTCGTAAATACTAAGCTGAACAGGCGGTTCGGATTGGACCGGTCACGGTTACCAATACTAGTAGAAACCGATGACCGTCAACAGCATCAGTGCGAAGATGGAAGACTAAGACGTTGCGATCTGTATGCTGCTCATTCTTCCAAATAGCTACGAAAATGTGGTGCTCAACATGGAAATGAGCAGCGCCGAGCTTCGTACCCAGGATGTGGTGAGAGGGGCAGACGAATGAGCACGCCAAGCGTCAAGGAGAAAAAGGGACAACAAAAGCGACTACGGTGAAGGCTAAAGATGCAATCAAGGCATTCAGCACCGAACGTGAGCCCTATCAATGCACGTATTGTGGCAAGGAGGGACATACGGTGGATCGCTGCTGGACAAAGCAGAAGAGCGAAGGTCGGGGAGCCCGACGCGGCGGCAATGGTCGTTGACGCGGGATTAATAACGTCCAGTGGGGACATTATGATGAAGGCAATGGCTGCGATCGAGTGGGGTTTGCAGTCTCGTTCGAATGTGGAGTTTTGACGAGCAAGGACGTGTTCGGAATGGGGACCGTCGATAGTGGTGCAACGCACCACATTTGCCATGACAAGACCAAGTTCGCAAGTTTGGCAGAGCGCAATGAGGGCGAACTCTTGGTGGCTGATGGCAACAAGGTGGCCATCAAGGGTGTGGGATCCATCATGGAAAGGTGGTTCTGCCCAATGGTGAAGAGCGTGAGATCGAGATCAAGAACACACTATATGTTCCAAGTATGAGCAAAAACCTGCTTTCGGTGCCACAGATCACAGGCATGGCAAGTTCCAAGTCGTGATTGACGGGTCCAAGATGTATGTGACTCTCAAGAACTCACAGCAAGCAGTGGCGACAGCGGATTTTGTGGATGAACTTTACTGGCTTCGGACGACTCAACGATCAGCGAATGTGACAACAAGTGGAACCAGCTGTGCTGATCTACATGCGCAAATGGGTCACGCTCCAGTGGACGAACTTTACTGGCTTTGTACGACTCAGCGATCAGCAAATGTGACAACAAGTGGAACCAGCTGTGCTGATCTACATGCGCAAATGGGTCACGCTCCAGTGGATGAACTTTACCGGCTTCGTCCGACTCAGCGATCAGCAAATGTGACAACTCTACTGGCTTCGGACGACTCAACGATCAGCGAATGTGACAACAAGTGGAACCAGTTGTGCCAATCTACATGCGAGAATGGGTCATGCTCCAGTCGATGTACTTCGCAAGATGATCGCGACCAACATGATCAAGGATGTGCGAGTCCCTCTCAAGTCGAATGGAGCAACAGCATGTCGAGGGTGTCAACAAGGGAAATGGTCCAAAAACCATTCCCGAGCAACCGCAACAAGCGTAACTACTAAACGTTCGAGCTGCTTTATCTGGATATCTGTGGGATCATGGAAATCGAATCGCTCGGTGGCAGCAGAGATCTGCTACTGATCGTAGAAGAAGCCAGTGGATGTATGAAGGGCTTTTGTTTACGAGTGAAGTCCAAGAGTGAAGACTACATCCGGAAGTACATCACTATGTTACAGACGAAGTTCAGTAAGAAGGTCAAGTTCGTGCGACACGACGGAGCTCGCGAGTTGCAACCAGGTCGCTGTGAATGTTCTACGAAGACGAAGGAATTGAACAGAAGACAACGGTGCAATATGCACATTAAAACAACGGAACAGCATAGCGTGCCATTAGGACTATCGTCACGATCGGCCGCAGCATGTTTCATCAGGCCAAGCTGGACAAGTGTTTCTAAGCCGAAGCAGCGATGACGGCCATCTACGTCAAGAATCGACTGCCGTCACCTGAAGTCGTACAACAGACCCCGTTTGAGATCGTCTACAGCTCGAAACCAAGAGTCAAGCACATGCGAGCATTCGGGTGTCAGACGTACATACTGACGCCGAAAGAAAGTCGACTCAAGTGGGATCCAAAGGCTCGCGCTGGCATATTCGTGGGCTACGAAGAAGTGTAAAAGGCGTATCGAATTTACGACATCGAGGCGGGGCAGGTGGTTACAGGTCGCTATGTCAACTTCGACGAGTCCACATTTTGAATTTCGCCGCCAATCACTGATGAAGATGCCGATGACCTGGACTTCGAATTGCTTGAACTCAATGATGAAGAGCCGCTTCAGGTGGAGTACAAGCAAACAGGAAAGCGCAAAAAACTCCTTAGTGACGAAAAAACAGCTTCTCCACGACCGCGTGCAGTGCGTCCACAACCTGGACTAGAAGGGTCAAGCGCGTCGGAAAACAACTCGTCACGTCAAGAAGAAGGCGAAGAAACGAAGGATTCTGATGAATCAACTCTGTTGCATTGTAGATCGGAGCGAGGAAAGCGGAGCGAACAAAGCGGAGCGACCGAAGAGAGTTTTTGACGGTCATCGGTTTCTACTAGTATTGGTAACCGTGACCGGTCCAATCCGAACCGCCTGTTCAGCTTAGTATTTACGACGTAGTTCTTACGGTAATTACCATAGTTGATTAGACGCGTAGGATGATGAGACGCTTCACATGATTTATATGTGTGTGGTGAAGCCGATCTCACAAAATTGCTTGTATGAGTGTCGATCTTCCACTTGCCCAGACTTGCCGACTCACGGAGGGGGTACTCCGATCCGTGCCTTGTTGTATGACCTTGTGCTCACCTTGTGTACCCGTCGGTTGGGCTGGCTTGAGCTCTTCGTAACGGCCTTGGGAGATGTCGATCTCGCTGAGAGGTTGGGTTGAGGGTTCGCTTCCGGTGCGGAAATCTTCACACCACGAACGGGTGTTCTGCGATCCCGATCTTGGATCGCACCGATCTTGATTTGTCTTCGAGATTGGGGTCTTTGCTGTGCGGAAATCTTCACTCAGCAAATAAAAGTCCTGCGTCGATCTTGCCTTGGGATCGGTCCGATCTGGTCTTGGGATCGGCCGATCTTGCCGGAAGTGCGCAATTTGGGTAGATCGGTGTCTTGTTTCGCCAAAATGAAACGTGCCGATCTGTCCAGGGGATCGCTTCGATCCTGCTCGGTCCTGTCTTGAACGCCTTGTCCAGATCTTCTGACCACTTGAGCCGTCTCGCGATCTTGTGTCCAAAATCCTTTTCCTTTTCCGTTGTGTGCTGCTACCCTAGCAGTTGAGTTGAGTGTGAATACTTGATCGATCCGGGCCAGATATCCCGGGATCGCTCTTCTCGATCTTGGCCAACAATCCAAGATCGGTCTTCTGTGTCCCTGTAACACGCGTGCCTTAACCCACCGGGGAAGCCAAATCAATCTTGCCTGGAGAAGAGGGGAGGATAACGTGCGTCGTGAGCAGAAGAAGTAGAGTTCAAGTCTGTTTATTAACCAACCAAATTACTATCCAACCTACCCTTAAGCCTATTCTTAACTATAGGTCACTCTTCAAACCGATATCGCCTTGAATCTGGTTCGCCCCCTTGCCACGTGTCGAAATTTCGTGCCCTGTACTCCAATGATAGCGCCAATATTCCCGATACCGTACCTGAACGCCAAAAGAGGACCAAATCCCAAATGGGGTACCAAATACCCATTTTCGGTACCCAAAAGCCCAAAATAATGCCCAAATGCCGAAGGCGTCTAAATCCATTTTGCCACGTCAATTTAACCGGCTTCCACTGGCTCTTTCGATCTGAACTTTTGAGACATCACTCATGGACCTTCAACAAGCATGTTTGTCATGATCCAAAATTCTCATCAACGATACATCCATAATCAGTGGGGATCATGACCGATCTGATGCCCAATTCGAGATTGTTGAGGATCGACACAGTACAATCCGGCCATATATGTTCTTCCGTTCATTGTGTGCACTCCGATGCTTTATCAAAATGATTCTGCTTCAACATCCACATCCTTGCCTCTGATCAGCCTTCAGAGTGGTCGTTCGGTTCAATCCAGTCCCTCGTCCCAGATCGCACCGTTGGAATCACCCCTTTCTACGCCCCGTCTCAAATCACGTTGCATCGCCTGGTCCTAGGCGTACCTCTTCCGCCAGTGGGTGACATCTTAACTGGGTGGACACCGATCCACGTCCCATCATTTGATTAGTGACTTTACCACAGTTACACCTTCGTCGCAGAGTCATATCCCATCACCCGGTCCCAGATCCTTGTCCCAGATTGTTCCATGTAAATCGTTCCAGATCGCTCCGTCCCAGGTCGATCCATACCCATTAGTCTAACGACAGTTGGATCGGTTCGCCGATCCCGTTAAGATCATCTTCCACCTCCGTATTGGATCGCCGAGTCTCATGGCCTCCTTTTCCACCAGTAAGCGGCGCTTTAAAGATGTGGCCACCGATCCTCGTACAAAATTTGAGTAGTGACTTTGCCACAACCGCCCCCTGTACTGAAGTCTTTTGTACAGCAATCGACCTCAGTACAGTCACTCATCAACTTCGTTCCAAGCACTCAAGTCCGTCTCATGGTCTCTCTGACGCATCCGCCCACCTCGCCGATCTCTTCAGAAGGATCCACCATGTTTCTGTCTCCGGATCGCGACCTGTCGCCCGGATCGCCCGATCTCGGAGGACACACCCCAGCGGTCCCCGATCGGCCTGGGTCTCCGCGCCATCTAGATCATCCCGGATCGCAGATCCCTCGTCTGCAGGACAAGTTCAAACCTGCTCCATCGTCTTAGTCCAAGATCGATATCCAAGCCCGATCGTCTTTCATAATCGTGTAAGTCATTCAATCATCTTCTTTTTGGTACTTCAATTCTTTGCAGCTTCCACGATCTCGATCCTCATCGCTCCACATCATTCAGGAAGGTAATTCACTTGACTATCTCCATACTCACATACAAAAACCTCATCCACCAGCATGTGCTACCGTCTAGCACATCTTTCAACCCCTACATCCGCATATGCTACCTCCCGCATACTTGTTCGAACTGTTAAGGTTCGTCCGACTTGCCTTCATGAGACTGCATTACGTCGAAACGGTTTCGACTCACTCGGTTCCGCTCAAACTCTTGCAAGATCGCCCCACAACTTAGATCGGCCTCGTCCACCCAACTTAGATCGGGATATCCCTTCCACTTCACCAGAAACTGCCGGTGTACTCGCCCATAACGGGTTTTTCTACCAGATCGCACGTCCAATATTGCCTCTACTTCGTATTCCCCTTCTTCAAGATCGCCATCCCAACTGTCTTCCGGCAGCAGAGCTTCATCGAAATCCAAGCGATCTGATTCCTCTATCGTAAGCTGATCCTTCGGGCGTTCAGGGAACGTCTTTACCTTTTTTAGCTTCGATATATGTACAATCGGAAATAACCGATATGGGGTTCCAGCGATCTCCAATTTTACAGCATGATCTCCACATACGTCCGCAACTCGGAATGGCCCATGCCAAATGTGCGCTAGCTTCTTCGCATATCCCTCTTTAACTCGGTCCAGGTATAGCCAAACTCGCGCTCCTACTTCGATCTCGTGTGGTTCCAGATCTTCGTTGTGTCGATCTGCTCGCTCCTGGATCGCGGCTTGTAAACGATCGTTCACTGCAGATCGGGCTCGCTGGTATTGTCTTTGGATTTTGTATCTCCACCTCTTTGGATCGCGATCTCGTGTCCCCGTATTCCCCACTGGTAGCGTAGCCTCCAAAGTCGATCGCGGGTCCCACCCATGAATCAGATAAAACGGGGTATCCCCCCGGATCCGATCTTGTGGAGTGTTAATGGCAAATGTGAGCCGCTCAGCATACTCATCCCAGTCTCGCTGGTCAACTTCAGCCACGTACATCCTGAGCGAATGTGTCAGGGTTTGCACCATTCGTTCGGCTGTTCCATTTGCTTGTGGCCTGTAAGCCATAGTAGCACGCTGTTTTTGTCCTACGATCCGACTGAAGGTGTAACGGGGCACCCTGAAGCTTGTACTGGTGACAGTACAAGCTACTTATTCTGATAACAGAATAAGGCGGTGCCTCGTAACTTCACGTACACTCGTACGTGCAGAGGAAGACGGTAAGAAGAAGCGAGTACTCGGTTAGAGTAAAAAGTAGAACTGTATTTATAATAGTTAATGTCTGCAATAAATCACTATTTATCTTCATCTAACTATGTCTAAATACAAATGTGTAAATCAGTTATCTGCTCACCACTCATTGCGTGCGTCTGTCGTGGCGCGTCTTCGTTGGTTGATATAATGGCCTATATCAACCAATAAGGAACTACTTGGAAGTGCTACAGAATATTGTCCTTATGACAATATTCTGAGAATATAACTCTTATAGTTATATTCTATTAACAATTTCTTATAAATTGTTATGTAACGATTCACCCCGTTACATCACCCCCCTTAACCATCAGTCACTTTAGTGACTGATTGACTAAATGGATACTCGTCCCAAATCATTTGGGACGGGGTTTGCACTTGTTGGTCCGCGTCCACTTTCCAACATCTCATCGCATGGTAAACAAGCCCATGCGATGCGCGAGCAAGGCCGCCGAGAGCGCGTCTGCACGTCTCTGTGCGGACGCCGAAGCAGAAACTACAGCAACTGATATCCCATCGGTTGCTGAATCGACTCAGCCTGTATCACCTGGTGATGCAGGCGCTGGTCATGAAGACACTCGTGTCTTCACAGAGTACGAGCTCGGTGTCTCGTACTCTCCTGATACGGATGACGGATCCGTATCGACGGCAATTGAATCCAAGCCGCCTGCCAAGCGTGGCATGGACGATGCTTTGCGTCGCAGCATCTTTGGTTCATCTGATGAGTCAGATGAACCATCGCCGAAGCGAAGGCGCTCGAGGTCGCGAGACTCGGGCGCTAATAGTGGTGTCGTTTCTCCAATGGACACCACTTCACAGCGAGGTGCCAGTACTTCTGTCGGCACGTCGCAGCAAGAGCGGGACCGCAATGTGTTGCGTCTCGCTCCAGAAAAGAAGGCATGGATGCCTCCAAAATCTGTCATGGATCACTTGTCGGCGACGACGAGTGATCGTTATCGAACACGATTGTTCGATTCGTCAAGGATCCATCACCTTGACCCCAGCGCGAAAGACTATCGCGCTGAACATGAAGTTCTTCATCGATGCTTTCTTCAGACATCGATGGTACAGTGGGAATCACAAACGTGATGGTCCCTCACTACTTCAGGCGTGGAACGCCTACATCCATAATCTCGAGGATGTAGGTCGTGACGCTTGGAACGACAAACTTATCAAAGCTCGTGATAAGTTTGAAAAGCGAACCCCGACAGGTGCACGCTATAAGCTGCATCGTCTGTCAAGGGAGAAAGGATTACCCTGCCTCTCTTGGGGAGACTCGTGCCCATGTTGTGTGAACAACTCTGCACGAGCACCTAAGGAGGCTTACCTCCTTACCAGCCCGTGGTGGCGCGTACGTGTCTCTACTGAGATGTACGAAGGGATTGACAACCTGAAATCCCTTTACGACCGTGCCGGGAAGACTTTCTCCGGCGGTCCTTCTGCGGCACAGGATGTGTCGCGTCGTACTGCTCGACCAGACCCAGTACGTCAACCATCAATTGGGAGCGGGGCTCCCAAGAATCCCAGGACGGGGGATAGCCGCGCCACCGGACGAGGTAACTCGTCCGACGTCCGTTCACGTCGCGGTGGTTCAACAGCTGCTCTACCAGATAGCGCTGGCCACCGCGAGAGTCCTCTAATGGAGGTGGAGGAGGAGGAAAGACGCTCTCCACACGATCATGTGGATCGGTGTGTTCCCGAGAGCTTCTTTGATCGCGTAACGCAAGGGTTACGCGACGATCTCGAGCATGAGCGGAATAGGCGTCTCCAGATGGTGGACACTGCCTCGAAGCATCGAGCTGAGTTTGCCTTTGCTCAGCTTGAGAACGAGAGATCTCTGACATCTCTTCGTGACGAGCTAAGGGTAGCTCGTGGGATTGTTGATCGGTCTCAGGCTGAGATAACTGCTCTTCAGACCCTTGTTGATGCCCACCATCGGGAGCACAAGGCTCTCTGCGAGATGCTTGAGCGCAAGGGCGTTCTTCATCGGAAGAAGCAGCGTACTGATGGTACGGCTTAAGCCGACCAACGTAAAACGTGGGATGCGTTCGCATCTTACGTGGTAACTCGATCGTGTATGCATTGCCTAGGCGGTGCAATACACGAAATGGGCCAATGTACTTGGGTAGTAGTTTACTGCTACCCAAGTTAGTCACTACATGCTTTGGTAGATTAACCGTAGACAGTAGGACTAAGTCACCTTTATTAAATAAAAGAGTGTTTGCCCTTCCATTCTTGTCAGCGTTTTGCTTTTGCTTATCCACCGCTTCGGCGATGGAGTCTTGCACAAAACGGACTACCGTTTCACGAGCCAGTATGAACTCATCTGATGACTCGTTAGCTTCAGTGTGCTGTGAGCGCACTGCAGCAACAACAACCTTTTCTTCAGTGAGGGCTTCCGCACTCTCACTGGGATCATTGTCTTCAGTGAGGGCTTCCGCACTCTCACTGGCATCATCTTCTTCGATATCGATGTTATCGATATCGGCATCAAACTGCAATGACTTCTTCGTCAGAGCGTGATGAGCGTGAACCAAATCGGTTTTTGCTCGCGCGAGTCCCTCCCCCCTTAAACCAGAGTTACACTCTAGTAAGGTGGGTACACGCGGATGGCGCAAGCCATTCACGTAAAACGGTGTATGTGTCGTGGACGCATGCACCGAGTTGTTGATGGCAAACTCTACCATCGGCAAAAACTCACTCCAACTCTTAAAGGAGTGTACGTATCCTCGAAGTATCTCTTCAAGGACACGATTGGCACGTTCCGTCTGACCATCTGACTCTGGATGATCAGATGTTGACATCTTCAAGCGCGTTCCGAGTGATTTGAACACGGAACGCCAGAAATCAGCAGTGAATCGTGGATCTCTGTCTGATACGAGTTCACGGGGCAACCCATGAAGTCGGAAGATGGTGTCAATAAAGACACAAGCACAGCCACTTGCCGTGATTGTCTCTGGTACAGCCACAAGGTGTACCATTTTGCTGAATCTGTCAACAAATACGAGAATACCCGTATTCCCGCGTGCGTCTTTGGGTAACCCGAAGACGAAATCCATTGAGATGGATTCCCAGCACTCAGCCGGAACCGGTAGAGGCTGTAAAGGTGCACGCAGTGAAGGACTTGACTTCACTCGTTGGCAGACTTCGCATGCGCGAACATACTTTCGCACAAACTGATACTGGCGGGGCCAGTAAAAGTCTCGACTTACCGTGAGATATGTTTTCTCTCGGCCACGATGTCCTCCTATAGGAGCATCGTGATACTCGAACATGATCCGCAAACGCAGATCAGTATCATCTGGAATGACAACACGTGGTGTGTCACCAGAAACGGCTGTATAATACAGTAAACCGTTACGAGTAGTGTATCGATCTGATGCAGATCGATACGCAGACGACAATCGTTTCAACGATTCTCGGGATGGTTGGGAGAGATGTGACAACAACTTCACTATCTCACCATCTTGGGCGTATGCCCGCCTCACATCATCATACAACGTTGTAGATGGAACTGAGGACGTCATAACCGCAACAGTGACTGTCTCACTGTTGGGTTTCGCGACTGTTTCAAAGTCGGGACGACGTGAGAGTGCATCAGCGACGACATTAAGTCGTCCTGGTTTGTACTCGACCGTAAAGTTGTATTCTGCAAAGAATGACAACCACCGCGCCATTCGTTGTGAAAGGTGCGGGCTGTTCACTGCCGTGCGTAAGGACGCATGGTCAGTGTAAACAACGAAGGGTCTATCTCCTAATAGATAGACTCTGAACTTCGCGAGTGCATACTTCATGGCAAGGAGTTCCTTGTCATGCACTGGATAGTTCCGCTCAGCTGGTTGCAGCTGACGCGACTGATAGCAGACGACGCGTTCAACGCCTTCAAGGTCGTACTGCATTAATGCACAGCCGATTGCGAAATCGCTGGCATCACAGACCACATGAAATGGCCTGTCCTGATCGGCTATTGCTAGGACTGGGGATTGTATCAAGCTCTGCTTGATACCCTCAAAGGCGTTGACATTCAGCGTTCCATAACCACCTCTCGTTCTTTTTCAACAAACGAGAGAGGTGTACAGTCATCTCGGCGTAATTGCGTGAATACTTATGCAAATACGCCGCTAGCCTAAGGAATTTTCGAAGACCTTTGACATCGACCGGCACGGGCCAGTCGGTGATCGCCTTGATCTTTTCGGGATCAGGACGTACACCGTTCTTACCAACGATGCACCCAAGAAGTGGTATTTCGCTTGCTGCAAATATACACTTCTTGAGGTTTACATACAATTGATGCTTTCGCATGATTGTAAGAACTTGTCGGACGTGGTACTTGTGAACCTCAACGTCCGACTTTCCATCCATAGCTCGACTATGGATGAATACGTCATCGAAATAACTCGGCGCGAATTCTCGTACTGGCCTCAACAGATGTGATACACACCTGTTGAACGTGGCAGGGGCATTACTGAGCCCTTGTGGCATTACTAGCCATTCCCAGAGCATGCCGCTAGGCGTGCTAACTGCGGTATAGGGTATATCCCGTTCCCGCATTAGGATTTGATAGAAGCCATCCATCAAATCCATGGACGAAAAGATGGTACTCTTTGACATACCATCAATGATTACGTCCTTCCTCGGTATCGGCGTCTGAGCCGGTACCGTTGCAGCGTTCAATTTGTTAAACGCGTGCACTATCCGCCACCCTCCTGTTGCTTTTCGCACACAGAAGGTCGGAGAGCTATGTGGGGAAGTTGATTCCCTCACATGGCCCGCTGCTAAACGATCGGCAAAGAACTTGTCGATCGCAAGTACTGTTCACGAGGCAGTGGCCACTGCTTCATGACACAGTACTTCGAGCCTGGTTTAAGCTCGACTTCGTGTCGAATACCTTTATCCTTCGGTGATTCGCACGGAACAGTTTCAGGGAATACATCCTTGAATTCAACCAAATCTTCATAGAGAGGATTTTCCTTGAGCGATTCCCATGATTGGGACTCATATCGCTCAATTCGTGTCTTTTCATCTAGGACACTCTCGTCCATAGATGAACTACTGAGAACTCTCTCGTTCTCAGTAAACACTGTTGCTGACCTTATGTCGGTTACATACTCGTCTTCAGCGACGAGTATGCAGATCTGCTTGACTTTGCCACTACGCAGATCACGCAAGAATCTTTTATGTTCGAGCGTTGGCAACTGAGTGATCTCCGAAGTTAACTTCGGAGGCGCAATCAGATCAAGTGTATAAGCGCCTACACATGATCCGTTATTGACTATGACATTCAATGTCTCTGTCATTTCCTGGGGACTTATTCCCTCAGGCTTCGAAGGACTTATTCCTTCGTCTTCCCGGGGACTTATTCCCGCGGGTTTCGGGGAACTTATTTCCGCCGTATTTGTAATCTTGGGACTTATTCCCTTTACTTCCTCTAGCTGGGGTTGCGCAACCACAGCGAGATCCTCTACGAAAGACTCTCCAGTCGATCTAGGATTATCGTTTCGCTTAACCTGAGCGATCGATTGTTTCTCTTCTAGATGTTCCCCTCTAGGGATACATCTTTGTCCCAGTCCACCCGACTTATTCGAGTGGTGGACCTTCAGCGCAGCCTGTGTTTCCTCACAGCCGCCGGAACTTTGCTCCGAAGTGTAACCGTTTGGTACACTAAGGTTTTGTGCAGTCGTACTAACGACCGTACCACAAGTGAGGCCATCGCACTCACTCGTAGTACATCCACACGCTTGTGGACGCTCCAAAACGTTCATCAGATGGCCATCTGATGAACAAGCGGCAGGCATCGTTACTGTCCGATGTTGCCAGTTTACCCGTGGTTCGTACCTTCTGAGCCACGGTATTCCAAGGATGACATCAAATTTGTCATCCAAATCCAATACGATAAAGTCATCGTCGTATTGGGTATCTTCTAGCGTATAGTGAATCTTCACTATACGCTTCATAACGGTTACGGATGCGCCTGTCGCAAGACGTACCGTCATCCTCGTAGGAGGTGTGTCACATTCACTGAATTTAAAGTGACCATCTTCTAGCGATTGGCGTCGCACAAAATTGTTGGACGCCCCACAATCGACTAGAGCTCGAAGGGACAACTTATTCGTCACTTCGAGTTTCAAGGTAATGAGTGAGATCTCATTACCTAGAGCAGCAACGCACAATGTCTGTGTGTTGGGAGCAACCTTCATCAAGAGGCCTACAAATTCTCTTGACGTTGCTGGATCAGTAGGGTGCTCCGCACCTACTGATCCTGTCCGTTTTTTGACGGTCCATCCCGTTGTTGCGTCTTTGCACCAACTGCGGACCCTCGTCCCTGCCCCTTTCTCATGGGTGGACGGTCACTACGCCCAGTGTCGCGAGACACTGGACGAGGGGCACTACACTCGTAAGCGTAGTGTCCTGTCTTTTGACATCTGTTGCATCTCTGCAACTTCTTGTAGCCTGTAGAGCGAGCCTTCTCGCTCTCTACATAACAGAGTTCCATCGGCTCTGGACCTCCGTTGTCATATCGTCTCGGTTGACGATATGATGTCGAGCTGGCGCGAGCCTGTCTCAGACTGAAGTCTTCCTGCTCCGCAATTGAAATGGCTTGTTCTAGTGAATCTAGTTCAAGCCGGAACAGGTGAGTCTTGACGGGACCATCCGCAAGACCCTGCATGAACACCGAAACCAACGTGTGTTCATCCACTGGATTGGAACTTATACAACTCGTAAGATGTCGTATATGTTGAGCGTAAGCGTGCACATCACGCTTACCCTGCTTGAGCTTCAAGAGTTCGGTTCGAGCCCTGAACTCAGCTCTAGGCGGTTCAAACGTTTGTCTGAGCCGCGACTTGAAGACTTCTAGCGACCCAAACGCATATGGGTCGTGCAGCTTGAGCCCCAGTGCCCAAGTCTTGGCACGTCCTGCCAGATTTGACTGGGCAAATGCAACTTGCATATCCCCGTCGTCGATGCGACGCGCCCTTATGGCGTCATCAATTCGACGAACCATCTCAGGAGGGAGTCTTC